CAATACCAGCGTCGGGGGTGATGGTGCCGATGGTGCCCAGCGGGGCCAGGATGTCGACATACTCGGGGAACTTGGCGGCGGAGAGGTCGTGGCAGAGCAGAACGTAGTCGACTTGGCCATTCTCAAAGCCGCTGCTCGTCAGCTGCTCGCGCAGGGGCTTGTGGTGGTCAATCACAACGTCCGCGCCCAGCTTGCGGACATAGTCGCTGGTCTCGGGACGCGACGCAGTGGCAACAACGCGCAAGTGAAGCAGGCGCTTGGAGATTTGGATGGCCAGCGAGCCGACGCCACCCGCGCCTGCCAGAATGAGGATGGACTTTGGCTTGGCTTCGGGTGCAGCGCGTTCGGGAATGTTCATCTGCTCCTCGAGCGCCTCGAACGCCGTCAGGGTGACCAGCGGGAGCGACGCGGCCTCGTTCCAGGAGAGCGACTTTGGCTTAAACCCGACAATGCGCGCATCGACGGCCGTGAACTCGGCGTTGGTGCCCGAGCGTGAAATGTCGCCTGCAAAGTAGACCTCGTCGCCCACACTGAAACGCTTGGCATGCGCGCTCGAGCCAGTGTGCACGACAACGCCGGCGCCGTCGTAGCCCAGAATGCGAGGGCCGCCAGTGACCGAGCCGCCCTTCTGGCCTTCGCGGACCTTGTAGTCGACGGGATTCATGGCGGCGGCCTTGATTTGGACAATAATGTCATTCTCGGAGCGGAGCGTCGGGCGCGGCACAGTGACCTGGGTGAGCAGCTCGGGGCCGCCGTACTCGGTTGCAAGGCCGAGCGCCTTCATGGTGCCGTTGGACGAGTACGATGAGGATGCCATTTTGTTTTTTTCTGCGAGCAAAGGTTTGTGTGGTTTTAGTTCCAAATTGTGTGACAAAATCTAGAAGAAGAGTGATGTTTGAGTTTCGCTCGTTCGATCGGTTTATAAAGGAAGGAGTGCTGGTGTCCACCTTTCAAAAAAAAAAGGATTTGGATTTGGTCAGGATTTGTGAGTCAGCAGGTGTGTGTGTGTGTGTGCCAGGTGAGGGTTGGGGAAAGGAGTGCAATGGGGAACATCAAGAGAATGGAGGAGGTGGGAGGGGGGTTGGAAGAATTGGAAGAGTTGGAGGGAGGAGGTGGGGACAGCGCGAAGGTGGTGATGGACACGGTGACCACCCCCTACCCCGATTGATGTCCACCAGCGGTGCGCCCGCTCTTGGCACTCTGCAAAAAGGAAGGAGTAATATACACCAAAAACCGCAAAGAATTGGTCGCGGAACTTTTATCAAACGGAAGGAAAAGGGAAAGGCTCGGAATCGAAACCAAAATCATCAACACACACATGCCAAAATCTGGGGCTTGAGGCGGTTTGAGTCTCAGCCTACATCCTGGGCTGTGTGCAGCTAAACATCCAATGTAGCAAACATGAGTGATTCATTCTGCATTTGAGATTTTGCTTTGCAGGACTGCCCGACGGGCTTTGGCATGATTATTGATGCTCGACGGGCTTTGCATTCACCATCATCCGCTCCTTCAGCTTTCGCCCCTTGTCCTCACGTGCTCCACTCGTGTCGCGGTGCTGACGACATCGCCAAGAGAATTGTTTGTTTTTTCTTCCTCTCCGAGTCGTGTTTCACAAAGAGCCAAATTCACAAGAAAAAACGCCAAGAGAATTGTTTTTTCCATCCTCCGGTTTCGCAGCGTAAATCCCCATGAAATCTTGCCTTGCCGCTCCACCCGACAAGAAAATCAAAAAAGAAGTTCATCAAGCAACCAACCCATCTAAGCACGAACAGGCATCCCAGCCAGCCAGCCAGCCAGACAGACAGACAGACAGACAGACAGACAGAAGGACGAAAGGGGCGGAGCGTCGCAGTCCAAATTTGGGTTGTGACGTTGCAATCCGGTTTTTTCGCATTCGTTCTTTGTTGCAATGGATTGTCAATGTCCCCCAGTCTTCATTTTCTTGATCCTTGCTTATTGGACTTTTGATCCTTACTTACTGAACTTGTTCTCGTTTATCGCTTCTCCCTTTCATTGCGTTTGGTGATCTGCATTTGATTCAAGCCAAGTTAGCACAAAGAAGCAAAAAAGAACGCAGCGGTTTTTTGTTTTTTCATCTCAGCTTAGCGATCACTCTGCACGAATCGCCGTCTCGCCTTACACTTGATGTACGCCGACTTTGACGCCGTGCTGATGCCCGTGCTCACAATGCCGCAGCAACAACAGCCAGGCCTCATTCACTCGCAGCAACAGCAGCTGGATCGTCATCGCTTCGCCTCTTCGTCTCCATTTTTGATCAACGCTCTGGGCAATGTTGCATTCTGCCCGGCCGACGTCGCCATGTTGAGCGAGGTGTCGCCTCTGGATGCAACAATGTTCTCACAAGCGTTTGCCAAGCAGCACAGCGGCGGCAGCAGCGCTCTGAGCACCTCGTGTGACGCAATGCTGGCCTCGAAGGCGGGGGCGGGCGATCATTTCCACGTCACTGCCTTTGGCTTGTCGTCCACCACGACCACCGCCACCACCGCCACCGCCGCCGGCCCGACAACTGACGATGGCACTTCCATGGCTCTGAGCGGCTATTTCAGCCCCCCTCTGAGCAGCACTGCCGGCCCGAACGCGCGCTTCGCCCCAGACGTCATTGATTTGTACAAATTTGGCGATGACAGCGTCACCCAGCCCGCCCACGGCCAGTTGCCACGACTGGAATCCCTGTCGCCCGAAGCGCTCGACGAGCCGGTCTTTGTAAGCGAGCTGGCGGCAGCGGTTGCCGCGGCGACCCAGGACGCAGCGCTCAACCGAACGGCGGCAGCGAAGAACGCCCACGCTCAGCTTCTTCCTTGCACGAATGCCAACGAGCTCATGCACCTGCAGACAGTGACCGCAAGCATTCCAGACGCGGCTGTGGCTCAAGCGCTCTCGCTGCCGGGGCCCGATTACTTTGGTCCGCTGCGCATCAGCTCTGCCGACTTTGGTCTGCAGCCTGCTCTCGGCGCTGCCAGCACACATCGTGGTGTTGCCATCCAGCACGAACGGTCTTCGCTCGCCTTGTTTGACGACAATGCGCTAATCAACGCAGTTTACAACAACGAGCGCATCAACAATTGGCAACCGCAGCCCCGCCCGCATCAACCCGCCTCTGCTGCTTCGGCCGTTGATGTGCTGAGCTCGTCCGTCGGCATTGTGTCGCACACCACCGCTTCCATCTCCAAGGCTCAGCGCTACCAACGTTTGGACGCGAGCCACCACCACCACCAACACCAACACCAATCAGCCCTCCATCTCGATGCCATCCTCTTGCAAAGCGGCTTGATGCACGCTCAGCCAGGATCTGCTGCTCCAAGACGCCAGCGCCGCACCTCCTCGCACTCGGGCTCATCCTCCACCTACATGGATGAAATCAGCGAAACGGCGTCGCACGTCTCGTCCGGCGAGGACAGGCCCACCTTCCACGAGCTCAAGCTCAAGCCTGCCAACCCAAACAAGCAGCGTATCAAGGTGCAGGGCGCGATCGAGCCCAACGTCAAGGCAATCCTGGACGATGTGCCTGCCGCCATGGCGAGCGGTCGCGTGCCCGTGTGCGCTTGCTCGCTCGTCGATTCGCCCCTGCGTAGCAACGCCATGAGCTACCTCCACGGCGAAACCGCGCAGTCGATTGACAAGCACCTGGAGAGCGGCCAGCCAGTCGTTGTGCTGGTGCAGCTGGATCGCGAAAAGCACCTGGTCGTGTCCAAGAAGAACCGTGGCATCATTTTTGCTCCTCAAGCCACCACCCAGGTGATGCGCCGGCTGAACTGCCTCGACTGCAAGCTTTCCAACAACGCCCGCTCAGAGTTTTCGGCCATCCTCGACGCCAAGGAGGTCAATTCTCGCACCAATGAGCTGGAAACCACTGTACAGAACTTTGCCATCCGTTTTACCTACCTCGCGCGGGGCACGCCCTGTCGACGCGATGCCGCATGCGTGCGCGACTGCCATCGCTTTGAGCTCGTCCATTGCTTCATGACCTCGATGCCCGAGTCCGACACGATTGCCGTTGTGGTGCGATTGGGCCCCAACACCTACGAGCATTCTGCATGAGACTGCTGATGAACTACAGTATGGTGTGGGATGACACTGCGAATTGATTGAAAATATTGTTATATTAAGTAAACCCTTTTTTTTTCTTTGCTTTGCATTTCCATTTTTGCTCTGTCTTGCTGAGAAATTCAGCTCATTGTTTTTTTTTTTTTTTCCTTTGTTTCTTCATCGTTTTCCGAGGAGTCCTCTTTCATAAGCACAGTCACTCTGCACTTTAAGCAAACATGGCTGACGCTTGGGATGCGCAGCCGGCGCCCGTGTATGGTGAACGCATTGCGCTGCAGGACGATTCACGCAACGCTGGCCCAATCTCGCCAGCCAACGCGACCGAGCGCTTCCTCGCGTTCATCCGCAACTTCCGCCACGAAAACGTCTTTGTCTACAGGTACAAACCAAAAAGCCCAGCTCAATGTGTCACATCGCGAAGCCTGCTGTGTCTTGTCGAAAACCCAGACAAGGATTTGCTTTTTTTGAATTTTGACAGGATCTCACTGATTTTCCATTGTGTGTGCTTTTTGCTTGCTTGTCGATGCAACTGCAACTGGTTGCTGCTCTGTCTCTTTGTCTCCATGGTTGTGTGTCTCTATGTGTGTCTGTTGAACGACGGCGTGCAGAGACCAGCTGCGGCGTCGCTTCCACCTTGGCCAGTACTTTTTGGAGGTTGAGCTGCGCGACCTCGCCGCGTTCAATGGCACGCTCGCCGATCTCCTCGTGGCGCGTCCGGCCGAGTTCCTTCCGTTGGTATGAGCGAACGATGCAGAGTGTTGCGAGCGAGAGCGAGGGCAGAAGGGGACGTCTTGGACCGTGCATCGTCTTCGTTTTGCTCACCCATTCGCCATTCCCCATTACATCCCCCCATTCCTCTGTGGTCTGCAGTTCGAGAACGCAGCGCGAGCGGCTGCTGCTGCCGTCGTCCACGCCCAGGGCGAGGAGGAGCGCGCTCGCGAGCTGCGCGAGATTCAAGTCATGCTCAGGTCGGACGGCAATCCCATGCAAATCCGCGAGCTCACGGTATGTTGATGCTCAAACAGCTCAGATGGATGTTTACGATGCTCAGATGGACTTTTTGAAGTACTTTGATCTCTCTCACACGCACCTTTTTGGTTGGTTTTGTTGCCTTGCCCAGTCCGACTACATTTCCAAGCTGGTCAAAATTCCAGGCATCATCATCAGCGCCTCGACTCCGCGTGCTCGCGCCACACATCTCACTATTCGCTGCTCCAACTGCAGCCACACGCAACAACTGCCCGTCGCGTCGGGTTTTGGCGGTATTTCGCTGCCGCGCAAATGCCCCACCAAGTGAGTTTGGTTGTTGTGATGTTGGTCCGTTGGGCATTTCTTTGTGTCTGTTTTGCTCACGCCGTGCTGCCGTGTGTTGTCGTGAACCAAAAAAATCATATTGCAGCGACAATCCGCAAGCCAACCAGGAACGCTGCCCGCTCGATCCGTACATGATTGACGGCGACAAGTGCCTCTGCATCGACCAGCAAACGCTCAAGCTGCAGGAGCATCCCGAAGTCGTTCCGACTGGTGAACTTCCGCGACACATGCTGCTCTCGAGCGACCGTTATCTGTGCGGCCGAGTGGTTCCCGGCATGCGTGTGACAATCATGGGCATCTACTCCATCTTCCAGTCTCGTGGCTCCAGCGCGGTGGCAACGCGCAATCCGTACATTCGTGTTGTGGGCATGACGGTCGATACAGACGGTCCTGGTCGCGCCTCCAGTCAGTTTTCGCCAGAAGATGAGGAAGCCTTCATCAAAATGGCGCGCGGCGGCGACGTCTACGCCGAATTGGCCAAGAATATTGCGCCGTCCATTTTCGGCAGCTTAGGTAGGGAATTGGATGGTGTTGCTGCTTTTTTTTTCTGTTGTTGTTGTTGTTTCTGTTTCTTGACGGCTTTTCTGCTACCCTTTTTCGTCCTACCGACTGCGTTTCGCTGCAGACATCAAAAAGGCCATCGCCTGCTTATTGTTTGGAGGCTCACGAAAACGCCTGCCTGACGGGCTTCGCGTGCGTGGCGATATCAACGTCCTGTTGCTGGGTGACCCCGGTACTGCAAAGAGTCAATTCCTCAAGTTTGTTGAAAAAGTTGCGCCCATCGGTGTCTACACGAGTGGCAAAGGCTCCAGTGCCGCGGGTTTGACGGCTTCTGTCGTGCGCGAGGGAAGCTCGCGCGAATTCTATCTCGAGGGTGGTGCCATGGTCTTGGCCGACGGAGGCGTTGTGTGCGTCGACGAGTTTGACAAGATGCGCGAAAGCGATCGCGTCGCCATCCACGAAGCCATGGAGCAGCAAACCATCTCGATTGCCAAGGCTGGCATCACCACCATCCTGAACTCGCGCACCTCGGTGCTCGCGGCCGCCAACTCTGTGTTTGGTCGATGGGACGACACCAAAGGCGCGGAAGATGTAAGAGCATGATGCATTTCGCCTGCAGAATCGATTCCGTGAGTTAATTTGGGCCCAGTTTCTAACAAATCCTTTGTTGTGCGCCCTTGTTTTGTGCTTGTTTCAACAGAACATGGATTTTCAAACAACCATCTTGTCGCGCTTTGACATGATTTTCATCATCAAGGACGAGCACGACGAAGCCAAGGACACGGTAAATTCATTTTAGTGGAATTGGATTTGCAACGCGTATCTTGCTTTTGATGGCAGTTTTGTCTCTCACACACATCCATATTTTTTTGTTCTGCCTGTTGACAGAGCATCGCGCGGCACGTCATGCAGGTGCATCTTAACGCGAACGAAGCTCCCGACATGGAGACGATGGATTTGCAATTTTTGAAAAAGTACATCAATTACTGCCGAACGTAAGTGTTGACAACCTGGCGCTTTGTGATTCTGCATGCTTTTGTTTTGCACAAAAGCTCTTCAAAACAACAACCAAAACGGATCAGCTCAAAATCAGACTCTTTGCTCACCGATTTGCTTGAAATCAAATCACTCTTTTTGCGACAGGCGTTGCGGGCCACGCATTTCAGATGAGGCTGCAGACAAGCTCCGCAACCATTTTGTGGCCATTCGCAAGGCCGCAAAGGATCAGGAGCGACAGTCGGGCAAGCGCTCGAGCATTCCTATTACCATTCGGTATGTTTGAACTCCGTCGTGATGAAGCTGTCTTGTTCGCATCTGTCAGCACTCTTGCCTGGTACTGCCTGGTGTTGACCTTTTTTTGTTTCTCCATTTTTTATGGTGCTCAGACAACTGGAGGCCATCATTCGAATTTCCGAATCGCGAGCCAAGATGACTCTGACGCCGTTTGCGACCATCGAAGATGTAGCGGAAGCCATTCGCCTTTTCAAAGTGTCAACTCTCGATGCGGCACTGTCTGGCGACATTATCGGCGCGGAAGGCGGAGCCGTCCGTCCAGAGCTTCAAGACGAGCTCAGCAAGATTGAAAAGCAGATTCAGCGACGGTTCTTTGTTGGTGCCCAAGTGTCTGAGAAGCGCATTGTTGAAGATTTCGTGAAGCAGGTAAGTCAGCGCACGATGATGATGTACAAGGTTGTGCGAGGCAAGCGATCCAACATGCCAGTGCTCGTTTTCTCTCTCTTCCCCCCCTTTCACTCTTGCAGGGCTTCTCCGAGTATGGCATCAAGAAGGTCATTTCAGTAATGCTTCGACGAGGCGATTTGCAACACAAGGCGCAGCGGAAGGTGCTGCTACGTGTGCGATAGTCGACAGCGATTGTTTCTTCGATTTTAGCGATTTTTGGTGTCGTGTTCCGCTTGTTGGTGTCGTGTCGGTCTGTGAATGGAATGAATCCTTGAGCTTGGCACTAAATTTTGCCCAGAGAATCTTGGTGGCTGACTCAGAACGGGTGCAAACGATCGGTAACTTTGATTGTTTGTCCCTTCTATTACGCAAACTTCCTGGCTTTATTCGATGTCAAAATAGCTACATAATGTGTTGCTATGACACTTTGTCGATGCTGCGAGAACACGCGATCCCTCTCCAGCGTCAAATCCAGCGAGATCTTGACCAGATTGTGTTTTGCAGTCAAGTTTTTTTTTCTGGTTTTTTCTGGTTTTTTTTTTTTTTCGTTTTCGTTTGTTTTTCTGTTGCCAGGCCGTGCGACGCCCCCTGCTCCCCGACCCTTCGCTGAGTCTGCTTCCTCCTCCCTGCCCTCGCCAGATTAGATCTTTAGTCAGCCATGCGCGACTGGGACTCTGTGTGCACGGGCTGCATCCGTCGCGGCGCCCTCAGCAAACAAGGCGGTAAAAAATCGATTTTTTTTTTTTTTTTTTGTATCGACAACTTGCTCCGACGCTCTCCTTTGGCCTTTGTGTCGACTGAAGCGTGCATCGTCGTGCTGCCCTCCCGCCCGACCGCTCCATCCCACCCATCATTTCCTTACCCACCCCACTCCCTGCTCGGCCCAAGCCCCCACCGACACACGCAGCGCGGTCGCGGCCAAACCCGACAAGCCCTGCCTTGGTGATTTTTTTTCTGGCTTTTTTTTTTTATGGTGTGAGCGTGTGTCTTCTTTTGTTGCGCATCCGTTGCCGCGCAGTGCGTAGGCCGATGGCTCGTGTCTGTGCACGTGCACCCTCGGTCTACAAGGCGTCCCGTTGGCCGCTTCCGCAACCCCGCTTCTTTTCCAACGAGACCCGAGTTTAGTTTTTGTATTTTTTTTATTTTTTTTTATTTTTGTTTTTTCCCATCTTGTTGTTCTTGTTGTGGATTTTTTTTTTTTTTTTTTTTTGTTCGCTCAGCCACTTTTTTTTGTTTTTCTGGTTTTGTCTTGTTTTTTTGTCGTTGTCTTGTTTTTTTTTTGTCTTGTAATTATTCATCTGTGTTTTGTTTTTCTTGTGCTTTTGCCAGGCTCAATCAAAACATGGAAGAAACGCCAGTTTGTGCTCAAGGGTGACAAGCTCATGTACTACAAGCCGAACGCAAGGGTGACAAGCTCATGTACTACAAGCCGAACGCATACGACAAGCCGGCTGGCATCATCGATCTCTCGAGATGCAGCAAGGTCAGCTTGGTGGATCGCGAAGTGACCGAGCACGCGTTCAGCTTTGCCATCGTCACAGAGTCGCGCACATACTACCTCTTTGCGCAAGACGAGCCCGAGCTGCAGGCGTGGGTGAATGAGCTCACGGTCGCCGCGCGCAAGTCCTCCAAGATGTACTCGAGCGCCGATTTCACGCCTGCAGACGCAGGCGCTGGCAAGCCAAAGCATGCCTCGGCTCCAGTGCTTCCTCGTCTTGGGCTTCTCGGCAGCAACCAGAGCGGCGGCGGCGGCGGCGGCGGCGCATCGAAGGGCCCTCATACGAGCGTCGTGACTCGCTCGCAGCAAAGCCCCCAGCCCAACTCGCCACTTGGCACCAGCCCGCTCAGTAGTAATGGATTTGGCGGCGGCTCGGATGGCGGCACGAGTCCGTTCTCTGCCTACCACGTTTACGAATCACCCAGCAGTCTACGCAAGCCAGCCGAAGGCCAATCCAATGGACAAGCGCCCGCCTCTATTCCGAGCAATGACAGTACGTACTCTGTGGTGGGCAGGGTTCAATCGCATTACTCGGCCATCCATGTCCTCCCGTCTGGGGACGAGTACCACACCCCGACTCCAGCAGCACTGTACTCTACGCCTCAACAACAACAACAGCAGCAACAACAACAGTCGAATCCGGCGAGTGATACGTCGATGCAGCCGGTGTTGAACATTCAGCAACTTTTGCAGCAGCAGCAGCAAAGCGCTCCGCACTCGCCGCAAGAACGCCCGCTGTCGCCGTCGAAAGGCCTATTTGGTGCGGTGGATACGCCAGCGTCTCCCTCGCTCAAAGCTGCACCGCTAGATGACGGCGACCATGCGGCAACGCTCTTCCGCGGAAACTCTGTGGCGTCCAAGATGATGACCACCTTTGGCAAGCTGATTGCCGGTCAGTATCTTGTGCGCACCCTGCAGGATGTCATCATGGACATCATGTCTGGCAAGTTGCCAATGGAAGTCGATCCGTCCAAGCTCGGCATGTTAACCGATGAGGGCCCCGGTAGCCCCGAGGATTTTCGCTCGGGAGCGAGCTCACCCGTGTATGCCGAGTCGGAGTCGAGCGGCGGGGCGTCGGCCACTTGGGCTTCGCGCCTGACGCCTGTCCAAGTCGCCACTTTGGCAGAAAACTGCGCCAACTTGTCGGACGCGTGCGAAAAAATCCTGTTTGCCATTGTGAACTCGATCAGCGATGCGCCGTCCGACTTGCGCTTGTTGTGCTTTGCGTTGAAGGAGGAAATTTCCGAAATCTACCCGCAGTTGGGCGTCAAGATGGTCGGATCCTTCCTCTTTTTGCGCCTCATCAATCCCGCGATCGCCATGCCGACTCAGTTTGGCGTGATTGATGCAGATGTCACCATCTCTCCTGCCACGCGGCGCGCGCTCTTGCTGTGCACCAAAATCCTCATCAACCTGGTCAACGGAGTCGAGTTCGGCCACAAGGAGCCCTTCATGATTCCGTTCAATCAGTTCATTTCTGCCAATGCTGTGCGGCTGGAGGAGTTTATCACGAGCTTTGCGACTGCACCGGCTTCGTTTGTGTCAGAGCGCGCTCCAACCAATGGCGTCGCAGGAGCAGCCTCCAACGCGGGCGAGTCCTCCGAGCGCAATCCGCTTTCCGAACTGGAAATTGGGCTCAAGACGTTGTCCGACACGGTTGAGAAGCTCATCTATCAGTCCGAAGACGAGGAGCCATCGGACGAAATGGACGCCATCAAGACTGCCCTCAACCTGTACGACGAGGGTGAGCGCTCTGCGCTGCTGACCATGCTCGTCGATGATTTGGATATTGTCGCCGAACTGTTTATCGTGACGCCGCTGGCCAAGGTCGACCAGCTCGTGTCCTCGTTAGTGCACGTCTTCCATCACCAGCGTGAAGCGCAACGATTGCTGCGGTACTCGATCTCGCGCGAGCTCAATCGCGACCCGCTCACCTTCGCCACAGAGGGAGCGACCACGTCCAACCTTGGATTTGGAGGCACAATCAAGCAAGGCTGGTTGCTCAAGGCCAATCCCAAGAAGGATGTCCCGCTTATGCGCAAGAAACGCTGGTTTGTGCTCAAAGAGCGCGGCCAGCTGTTGTACTACAAGTCCGTCGCGGCCGACGTGCCTCTCGGACAGGTGGATGTTAACAGCCAGTGCCTCATCGACCAGGAGACCCCCGAGCTGACCAGGCAGCACGGATTCCAACTGATCAACCGCACCCGCACGTTCCGGCTGTTTGCAAAGTCGGTGGAGGAGCGGGAAGAGTGGATTCAAGCCCTGACCGCCGTCCGCTCAAGCTCTGGTAGCAAACAACGCGAACCTTCGCGTGTGCGTCCAACCACCTCTGCGGCCCCTCATACCAAGCGTTTGAGTGCCGACGGCAACGGAACACCAGGCAAATTGTCGAACGGCAGTGCCGGATTGCTGTCGCAGCTGACGTCTGGCAAAATGTCCCAGTCGTTCACGGCAGGCGTGATCAACAAGCCCATTCCGAACAAGCCCTTCAATGGAGGTACAGTTCGCCTGCCCGTTCAAGCAGAAGACGAAGAGGTCGATTCGATGGATGTCATTCAAAGCTATTCATCTCCACGGCGAGTATCAAACTCTGGGCTTCCCTTTGCGCCACACTCGCCGCTGCACAAGCTTGCCGCTGGCCCTCCCCCGCCTTTGCCCGAAAGCTCTCTTCGACCGCCTTCCGTCAGCACCATGCCCCCAACGAACGCGGAAACCACAAACGGCCACGGCGGCGATAGTGTCGCAAACGAAATTCGCGTCTCTCTCGGCTTCCTCGACAACGCCATGCAGTGGTCACTGTCCTCGGGTAGTGGTGACGACCCTGCTCCGCCAGTTGCAGCTCCCGCGGCAGTTGCAGCTCCCGCAGTCGCCCAAGCTGCCCCCACGCTCACCCCCACCAACTTCTTGTCGGCCCAGTCCAGCATCGACGACGTCTTGTCCATGCTGCAAACTGAAAATGAAAAGCACAAGCAGCAACAACCGCCAGCCAAGCGTGCAAGTGTTAGTTTGGACGACCAGCTCCGCGATCTTGACTTGTTGACCAAAGCCGCACCCCCGATCGCCCCTCTTTCTCTTAGCGCCGTTGCCGATCTGCCAGTTTGCGGCAAGTGCACCCAGCAAATCTTGCCCACCGACTTGTCCTTGACGGCGCTCGACAAGGTCGGTTTTATTGTTTTGATTGGCTTTTTTCTTTTCTTTTTTTTTTCCCCCCTTTGATTCGTATTTTGGCACGCTTCTGGCGTTGTGTTCTCCTCGAGTGCCTGTCTTGTGTTTGGTGCTCACTTGGATGTATTCTTCTGACTTGCTGTTGACAGACTTGGCACGCGCACCATTTCACATGCGCGGAATGCGATAAACAGTTGGTGGCAAATTATTTCCCCAAAGACGGCCGTGCCTACTGCCCTGAGGACTACAACCGGCTATTTGCCGTCGTGTGTCATGGTTGCAACAAGCTGGTTGAGGGCAGCATCGTTTCTGCCGGATCATTCCAGTGGCATCCCGAGTGCTTTGTTTGCGCTCAATGCAGTAGTCCGCTGTCAGTGTTCCGCACAGTCAATGGCAAATTCCTGTGTCCAATGGGCTCGTGCAAATCAGGCGAGCTGGATCTCTGCGACGGCTGTGGCAAGTCTTTGGTTGGAGGGTGTCTCGAGGTTTTGAGCAAAAAGCTGCATCTCGAGTGTTTCAAGTGCAAGGTAACGAAAGCATGAATGCCGCGTTGGCATGTGGATGGATGTGGACGGAGGATTGTTGGTTGCGCCTTTCCCCCCGCGGTCCCCTGTTGTTTCACTTTGGTGCTTTGTTGTTGCTTTGCCCTTTTTCCAGGTTTGCCAACAATCCCTCCAAGGCCAGAAATTCTTCGACCAAGGCGGCTTCCCGGTCTGCGATCGGGACTTCAGGATTTCTCAAGGCCACGTCTGCTACAAGTGCAAGGATGCACTGGACGACGATGCAGTTATGGCACTCAATCAAAAGTTCCACAAACGCTGCTTTGTCTGTGCCTTCCCGAACTGCGACCTCCAACTGTCCACAATCCGGTTCTTTGTGGTGAAGGACCAACCGTATTGTCAGCAGCACAGCCAGCAGGCCATGCAACAAAGCTAGTCGGTGAATCATTACAGTTGTGTTTGTTGTGACTTTCTTTTTTTGTTTCCGAATCATATACAGTTATGTGTTTGTTGTTGTTGTTTTCCTTTTGCTTTAATTTTTGTGTCTACCAAAAACCAAACATCCCCCTCAACGACACATTTCAACAAAATTCGCAACAACCGACCCTTCTCGCCCTGACGCAGCACCCAAATGATACGACATCAAGAGCTGAGATTTTGCTAACAATATCATAAAATGCACGCATTCATCGCTTTCGGGGTGATTTGCGCTGCGCGACTTCCAGGGCGCGGGCCTTTGCGGGAATGCGCGGCAATGGCTTGTTGGGCGCAGCTTTCCTGCGAGTGTCTTTAGTCTCGTGGTCGGTGTGCTCGCCGGCGTCGCTCTGAGACGAGGTATCCACCCAAATCTCCGACTCGAAGGCGTCCCAGACAGCGCGTGGTGGCTGTTCGCCGGATGGTGCGTTGGGACGGGGGAAGGCCCGCCACCACAAGGCGCCGTATGTGATGAATATTTCGTCTCCGTGGAAAATGTCCTTGGTGGCCACCAGCGCGCAGGTAGATGGAGTTTGCGCGCCCTTGTCCAGATTCACCGCATCCTCCTTGGTTGCGTCCACGTAGTTTTCGGTTTGGACGTCGAGTGTCGCAGGCCCGTCCCAGGGTTCTTGGGAGGGTCTGCCTGAAATGTCGTTGGAGGAACCCAGGATGCCGCGGACAACGATCGCATCAAGAATGCGGCTTTTATGAGAGAGCGCGTACGGAGTAAACCACAGCGCATCGGTCGGGTCCAAGTCTCGTGCATACCGTTGGCCGTACCGGGGCCAGCTCATCATTTCGCCTTCGTAATAATGCACGAGGTCGCCCTTGCGGAAGACTGGTTGATTCTGCTGTTGCGCTGCGAGATTGTACGCAAACAAGCCGCTTCCTGCAGCAGGGATTGTGGACGCACAAACCTGCCATTTCGCCAAAAGCGGCGTCAGCATTTGAGAGGAAGTCATTGAGAGTGAGTCAGAGTCAGTGAACAGGAGGGGTGTGCACCATTGGTCAAAGAGCGAGGAAGTCAGGTCGGAGCCTCAACACTGACATTCAACCGGAGAAGCTCTCGAGTGTGCGGTAGACAAAACGGAAGAAGACACGTCCATGCCGAGCACTGTTCAGTACATTCGTCTGTGCGCTTCTGGAATAACAGAGCAAGAAGGAGCAGAGAACGCGAAATCTGAGCTTCTCATACTGTATTGGCCAATAACAAAAACAATAAACTGCTCGAGATCGATCATCAGACCAGCCTTACCTCGCTGGATCCTGGAGATCCACCTGATGGTGCAATCCATGCTATGCAGCGACGTTCTTGGAGGGGCGAGAGGAAGAAGCTGCCGTCTGGCTGCGGCGCATGAGCAAACTCGGTTGTGGAGAATCGACGCTGCGCCAAGCCATCCGTCGACGGCGGGCTGAGTGTTTGGACGTTATCCTGGTATACCGGCATCGGGACGCACCGAAACGACTTGTCTGTTTGTGCGCCAGACGTGAGGAGCAGCAAAACAGCAACACGGGATGAGAAGAAGGTCAAAAAAGGCGGGAAAATCACCCGCCACACGAGTACGCTCGCTCACTGGCCCCTCCCCCCTCCCGCATCTTCTCTGCGCTCCCGGCCATGCTGCCATGCGGATGGACGAGTAAAGTGACTCAAGCACCTGGCTGCAAACGGTAGAGCGCTGGACCAGTGCTTGTTGCAAACTCGCGCGTCAGTCGTATCCGCCCATCTGCTGCCTCTGCCATTGTTGTTGTTGATGCGCGCAATACAACGCCACTACAACTGGGACTGAAATCGGATCTTTGAAGCATTGCATTTGCATTTGAGCTCTTACAGTAACAAGGCTCAGATCTCTGTGGGATTTGGTTTTTTGCTGCAGTACAGTATGCCATCTGCTTTTCTCAGACAACTAGATCTACCATGAACTCCTCACTTTTTGCAGTCATCTTTTTTTTAATTTTGCAATTTCTTAGTTACTACTATATTTTTCTTAGTTTTGAATGCTTTCACGCAAGCTCGAGTTTGTCTCGCCTGAAGGGCTTCGCATTGACGGTCGCCGGCCGAACGAGCTGCGGCGCATCCAAGCGCGCGTCGGCGTCTTCATGCAGGCCGACGGCAGTGCTTACATTGAGCAAGGCAACACAAAGATCCTCGCGACGGTCTACGGTCCACACGAGGTTGGTTTCAAGCAGATGGCGAGGGATGGGGGATTGAGTGAGGTTGCATTGCGCCGTCCAGAGTCCAGAGCGCGCGCGAGTGTTGTGACTGAACCTGAAGGGGGGGGGGGAGCTTCTGTAGATGGCGATTGATTTAGATGGCACAACGCGAGGCTGGTGTGGGGATGAGGGGGGTGTTGGTGATGATCACAGGCTCAAAACTCAACTCGGTCTTCCACATGTACTTTCCATACAAACCAGTAGTCCGTCAGTAATCCCCCCTCCCCATCTCCCCAAGTCAGGTCACTTTTTGACCCATCCCCGTCGCACTGACTCGGTGCTCCATAATAACACCAAAGAGTCCCCCCTTCCTCGTGGACCTTTGCTTTGACCGCTTTGCTCAACTCACACAATCACTTCGTCGCTGTTCCAACAGGTCTCGCGCAAGAACAAACCGCTGCACGACCGCGCCATCATCAACTGCGAGTACCGCGTGGCATCGTTCGCAACGGCAGAGCGCAAGAAGCCAGTGCGGACAGACAAGTAAGAACAGATGATATTGGGTGAAGTAGTGTTGGGATGGTCGCGTTCATTCACACGCTGTTTTGTAGGCGAGCGCTCGATCTTGCTGCGGCAGTGCGCGGCGCGTTTGAGGGTGCCGTCATGACACAGCTGTATCCACGATCTCAGATAGATATCTTCCTGCAAGTGTTGCAGTCCGATGGAGGTGAGCCAGACCTCAGATTGAACAACTGGTCCGTTTGAAAATCAGATACTGACCGTCGTCTTCAGGCAACCGAGCCGTTTGTATCAATGCTGCCACGCTGGCGCTCATGGATGCAGGCATTGCAATGAAAGACTTTGTGTGCGCCTGCTCTGTGGGCTGCATTGACGACACGCCGCTGCTTGATATCAACTACATTGAAGATTCCGCTGGTGGGCCTGATTTGACCGTGGCAGTGCTCGCACGGTCACGGAAAACAGTGCTTGTTGAGGTATGATTCCTTTTTTTGTTTTGTTGGCACTTGGCTGCACAGGTTGGACGCTGACGACCACACTCTCTCGTTTATCGTTTAGATGGACTCGCGATTGCACATTGATCGATTTGACGATGTTCTGCGGTTGGCAATCGATGGTTGCCAAGCCATCCACTCTATTCTCGACTCAGCAATGGTTGAGCGAACAAAAGCCTTGCTGGCCGGTGCCGCAAGTGGTGCCGATGCCGACTTGTGAGATGACTTGAGCGCTGAATGTAACAAATACAAAGATGTTCCTCCTCCTTTCTCTCTCTCTCCACCCCATCGCCCATTCATTCATCTTAACGAATTGTCGAAAACTAGTGTCATCCAACCTCGATCCGGAACAGTGTGTAAGTGGTCCAAGGGAAAGGGTCGACTCAGTCGTCTTCTTCATTCACTTTCTCCAGCAACCAACCATGATGGGCGAATCTGCCGAGTCCGCTGCCGCAGCCGCAGCCACCGCCGGTACCACCGACAAGCGCCGCGTCATTGTCATTCTCCAGAAGGCCCGTCTTGAGACTGTCAAGGTGTGCAACGCCATTGATTGATGCTTGCACGCGACGCTTGTCCCTTTGCTCCATGTGGACTGTTGCATTGGCGGCGGGCTGCTCAGTCAGTCCCCCCCCCCCGACTCTGGTCCACCTTGGGCCATTGGGGGACAGCTTGGGAGCCACTGTTGACTCTATTGAGCAACGTCGATCGTGGCGAGGCAGTTTCGATGGAAAGGCCCTCACTCGTGGTCCGGCGGACTGAGCTGCTTGAATCACTCATAGTCAAAAGTTGCATGGCGTTTGTCGATTCGGTTTGCACTCACATAGTCTATGTGTGTGTATATGTTGATATTGAACCGGTGCTTTGTAGGTCGGCAAAGAGTACCAGTTGCTGAACTGCGACGATCACCACGGAATCCTCAAAAAGTTCAACCGCGACGTTGCAGACATGCGTCCTGACATTGCCCATCAGGTAAGAACGGATGTGGCGATAGATCAAGAAGGACTATGTGTGCGTGTGCTTGAAGCTTACTGACGCGATCAAAACCCAACACGCTATCAGTGCCTGCTGACGCTGCTCGACAGCCCGCTGAACAAGTCCGGACACTTGCAAGTCTTTGTCCACACTGAAAAGAACGTCCTGATTGAAGTCAACCCGCACACGCGCATCCCGCGCACGTACAAGCGTTTTGCCGGTCTGATGGGTAAGTGCTCCAGCACGACAAACAAAAGCAAACAAGATCCAGCAGCAACAAATCCTCACTGGTTGTCAATTGCAGTTCAACTCTTGCACAAGCTGAGTATTCGCGCAACGGATGGCCCCGACCGCTTGCTCAAAGTCATCAAGAACCCCGTCACAGACCACTTGCCCCCAGGGTGCCGAAAGATTGGTGCGTAGCTTCTGCGGCGCTTTTGAAAATGCATGTGCAACAGATCAAAATCTAACCTCTCCTCGCTCTTTGCACCTATCTCTTCTTCTTCTTCTTCTTCTCCTGTACAGGCTTCTCGTTCGATGCCAAGCGCACTGTTCAGTTCAGCGAATATATCAAGACATTGCCTCCAACAGACCCAGTCGCGTTCATCGTCGGTGCTTTTGCTCACGGTGAAATCGACGAAGACTACTGCGAAGAGTCGATCGCCATTAGCGAGTACCCTCTTTCAGCCTCTGTGGCATGCGGCAAGCTGTGTGCTGGCTTTGAAGATTTGTGGGGCATTTTGTAATTTGGTTGTTTTTGTTCAAACAAAAAAGTGCATTTCTTTTGCTTTTGGGTGCGTTCTGTTTCCCTTGTTGAAGTTTTTCTTTGTTGATTGCTGTGCAAATGTTGGTTGAATTGAGTCTGGGGAGTTGTGAGTGACGCGAAGCTTCTCAAAACTGCGAAGCTTCTCAAAACTTACTTTGCTCCGGCTGCGCTGGTGGAAACGAAATGCAGCTCTGCTTCATCTTTGTATCCGTAGACATTTCGGATATTGTATACTGGTTTGATTTAGAGTACTTGTATGAGAAAGGCGAGTGTTGGAGTGGAAAATGTGAGAAAATGGACGTACCGATAAGCCTAAACATGAAAATTAAAAACCAGCAACTGAAAAAAGTAAAACTGGAGCAATTTTTGAGCCCGAATGCAAAACACCTGATGAACGCACCAACACGAATAAAACAGACTAACAATCAGATGCACATCATAACTACACTGAAAGAAGCGGAACTTTTGCCCATCTAGCACATCTCCATCGTCAATCCGGAATCGCAACTCTCACACCGACCAAAAACACCCCACCACCACACTTTTCCCAGCCATGCACTTTATACTCTCATACCAAACAATATTTCACATCTTATTATGTACCGGCGGCAAGGTGGGCGCAGGTCAGTCCCTCTGCTATGGCAGGCCGCGACGACGATGTTGTTGTGCTCAGCGACGACGACGACAGCCGCGATTCCGCTCCCACTGAGGCGACAACCGTGCCTCCGTTCATCCATTCACAGTCCAGTCAACCAACGCGAACAAGCACAGACCATCGTCTCCTCCCAGCCGGTCAGACTGGGCAATGTGAAGGCGCCGACCTGAGTTTGGCGCCACGATTGCACGCATCGGCGTCGTCTCCTGCCAGGCTCATCACGCAGTCCAGAGCACGGGAATCATCATTGTCGTCATCTTATGCCCATGCCACCACTGTGTTGGACTGCAGCAGTGGCTCGGACGACGACGACGACTTGCCTGCCGTGTCCAATCTGCTCCTGCGAAACGCAGCGGGCGCGAAGCCGAGCTCAGCCAAGGCTGCCGAGCAAACCGCCGCATCACTGCAACGGGTTCCAACAGACCCAGTCGAACGGAGTACGCACTCTGCGGCGGTGAAATATTCCAATAGCGCTGGTCTGCTGGGATTGAGCGAGTCGAGCCAGTTTCGCACAGCAAGCGAGCGATCTCGCATGCAAGAGGCTTCGTCATCCGAGAGTGATCAAGATTACGATGGCACAGATGATGCAAGCTCAATAGCAGTGTTCACAGACCAAGACCGTCGTCGTCGAATTCGCTTGGAGAAGGCGGAAGTGGCCAAGCAAAAGCGACAAGAGGTGCAGGAAGCGAAACGAATCGCACGCGACGAGAAGGCTGCACAGAAAGAGCTGGACAAGCATCGCCGCGCGGCAGAGCGACAGGCCAATCGGGTCAAATCTGTCGAGCAGGCGGTGGAGGAACTGATTGTGGACGTCGACACTGCGCTTGACGAGTGCGTTGGGGCTGACTTTGCCAACGCTGCCTGTGCCAACCTGGAGTCCCTGGGCGCGCACGTCCGGCGCCTGCAACTACCACTCCCAGGCGTCATCGTGTTTCAAAGAGCGACGCGAAGCTACCAGTTTGAGGAGAGTCAAAGTGGCGTTTCGCAAAGTTCCGTCCGTTCTTCTGCTTCATCATCCTCGCTTTTCTCGAGCGACGAGCTCGCGCGCGAGATGGATGTGATTTGGATTTTACCCGGCGAAAAATTTGCGCGAATCTTGCAGTGCAATCTTGTCGAAGTGGCGATTGTAGATGCACTCAAGCGAGCCTTCCCGTGGCCTGGAGCCCGTTTCACGTTGATTGTACGGTCGCTCGAAGCAGAGCTTCGGCGGGCCAAGCAAGCGAAAGATGCCCAGATGCGTGCGGCCGTCAAAAACGTCGGCCCATCCATGACAATTACCGAGGCCATGGCGCAAGCCAAGCACTCCGCGCAAGCTCTGCTCGAAACCCAGTTTCGTTCCCATCTGCCCAATCCCACAGATCGTCGCTTACAGCAAGAGCATGAGCTGCTTTGGCCGACTCGAGCAATTTCTGCCTCAGAGTTGTCTGTGGTCACTCAAGAGCTTGTGGACGATGCCATCTTTTCGCTTTCTATTGAACACGGCGTTCAAGTCACTCTGGCAAAGAGCAACGAAGACGCCATTGATTGGATTGTCCGGCTGACCAAGGCAGTAGCTTCCGGACCGTACAAGTTGAGTTGGAGCAAACGGTTTTTTGTTCTTTGTGGATGGTCAAGTTGCCTCTCGACTCACGTTTCGTGTTGGGTGATGCTTGCGTTCGCAGTACTTTCAGCAGCGACTTTTCATTTGATGTCCAAAGCGCCAAGCTGCCTGGATCGACGCCAGAGAAAGTCTGGGTGAACATGCTGCTCCAGATTCCGAGCGTGTCGGAAGCTATCGCAGAAACGGTTGCAGCAGCCTACCCAAGTCTTTCTTCATTATTGCAGGCGTACGATGCGTGTGGTAGTCTCACCGCTCGCGACGCGCTATTGGTTGGACTGAGATTGCATCGGCATGGCTTGCCTGTGGGCCGCACGATTGGAGCGACTGTCGCGCAGCGCATTGCCGCTGTGATGAATAGCACCAATCCCAACTTGATCATCCCGACGCGCGGAGCCACCCGAGCGTCCGACGGGTCTTCACAGCGTGGAGTTTCCAAGGGCAAAGCGGCCGCACCGAAAGCATCGAGTCGAATAGAAAGCGACAATGACGATGGCGAGGATGTTCTCTGATGAAAAAAATCACAATGTTCTGCAACCATGTTTTATTACTATGCATTCAATCATAGCTGCTCAGACCAGTCTTCCAATTTTGGGCTTTTCTCGTTTTTTTGTTCGTTTTTTCTTTTTCATTTCAATGAGCAGCCCAGACAACATTCTGCCGCCCAAGTTTGCGGATCTTCTGGCCATTGATCCCTCGCTGGAGCCCTTTCGCGATGTGATTTCGCGTCGGTGAGTCACCATGACCATCAAAAGAGACGGCGTTGACGATTCAGATGTTTAAGACGTGCATCGATTTTTGGGGCTCTGTTCGCTTTTCCAACCCCCACTCACTTCCGCCTGGGTTTGTTGCGCTCGCAGGTACTCGGCGTACCATCGCTACGCATCGACCATCGAGCTGAACGAGGGCGGCCTGCTCAAGTTTGCGCAGGGCTACACCAAGCTGGGACTGAATCGGATTCAAATTGCTCAACCTCGCTCGACCAGTGCGACCAGTGCCACCAGCGCCACCAGTGCGTCCAGCGAGGTCAAGCACCACCAAGATGGAACGAACGCAATCGTCTACCGCGAGTGGCTGCCCGGTGCCAAGGCCGCCTGGCTCACCGGCGATTTCAGTGCGTCATCCATTGACACGTTCGCCCATCCAATCCAAATCCCAATGTCATGCACACTGGAATGGATTGCAACTTCAGAGAGAGAGTCTGCAGCTGTTGTCATTAAAACATGTGCATTTACTCACTCGCTCATTCACTCAATCACTCACTTTGACTCTTGGCAGATGGATGGAATCGACGCTCGCACCCGCTCGTGTTGGGCGAGTTTGGAGTTTGGCAACTCGTTCTGCCAGACAAGGCAGACGGCTCATCCGCCATTCCACACGGGTCTGCATTGCAGGTACAAATGAGTTCATGTACTTTTGTACTTTGGCCTGAGCTTTGTGGCCTGATGGTTTTTTTTTTTCGTGTTATTTTCGTTTGGATGCTCATCGTTTGGTACCTCAGCTGCATTTAGAACTTGCCAACGGCTCGTTCGCAGACCGCATTCCTGCGTGGTCACCGTACGTAGTTCAGCCAGAACACACACCAGTCTACGAAGCGCGGTACTATCAACCGGCTCAGCCGTATGTCTTCCGAAACGCGCGACCCGCCGTTCCCCATGCATTGCGCATCTACGAAGCACACGTTGGCATTGCGTCCACCGAGCCGCGCGTCGCCAGCTACGCGCACTTTACCGACTTTGTCCTGCCTCGAATTGCGGGACAAGGCTACAACTGCATCCAGCTGATGGCGGTCATGGAGCACGTCTACTATGGGTGCTTTGGCTACCAAGTCACCAACTTTTTTGCTGCCTCGAGTCGGTTTGGTCCTCCGGAAGATTTGATGCGCCTCATCGACACGGCCCACGGGCTCGGTTTGATTGTCCTGCTGGATGTGGTGCACAGTCACGCATCCAAGAACGTCCTGGACGGGCTGAGCTACTTTGACGGCACCGACCACGGCTACTTCCATGCAGGCGGCAAGGGCCAGCATCCGCTCTGGGACAGTCGGCTCTTCAACTATGGTAGCTGGGAGGTGTTGCGCTTTTTGCTGAGCAACCTTCGCTGGTGGATTGAAAAGTATCGGTTTGATGGCTTCCGCTTTGACGGCGTGACCAGCATGCTCTACAAGCACCACGGCATCGGCACAGGCTTCTCTGGCGGGTATCACGAGTACTTTGGAACCGAGGTGGATGAAGAGGCACTCGTCTACATTATGCTGGCCAATGATTTGGTGCATCGGCTTGGCGAAGAGATTCTCCCGCATGAGCAACCGACGCCTCCTCGTGCGGACTCCAAGGCTGCCTCGGCCCTTCCCCGTCTCATTACAATCGCCGAAGATGTTTCTGGTTACCCGGCCATCTGTCGACCTGTCGCAGAAGGCGGCCTCGGCTTTGATGCACGCCTCGGGATGGCCATTCCCGACAAGTGGATTAAACTGCTCAAAGAACAGTCGGACGACTCTTGGAACATGGGGGACATATGCTTTACTTTGACCAATCGTCGGTACGTGTGTGCTCTCCTTGCATTTTCATGTTATGGCGATCTGACTCATTGGTCATTTTTTTTCCCTTTGTTTTTTTTTGTTGCCAGTTGGCGTGAAAATACAATCACGTACGCTGAAAGCCACGATCAAGCCTTGGTGGGCGACAAGACAATTGCATTCTGGCTCATGGACAAGGAAATGTACACATCCATGTCCGTCTTGTCCGCACCGTCCGCCATCATTGATCGAGGCATCGCCCTCCATAAGGTATTTGATTGGCCCAGCTGATTTTGCATACTGTTTTTCGTCTTCCTTGATACTTGCTTTTCTTCTTCTTCCTCTTCTTCTTGTTCTTCTTTGTTTGCAGTGACTCACTCTTGGTGTTGCCGCTTTTGCCACTTTTGTCTCGCTGGGCAGCTCATTCGCGCACTAACGTTTGGACTGGGAGGCGAAGGCACGCTCAACTTTATTGGCAACGAATTTGGCCATCCAGAGTGGCTGGATTTCCCGCGCGAAGGCAACAAGAACAGCTACCACTATGCACGTCGACAATGGAACCTTGTGGATGACCAGCTGCTCAAGTACCGTTTCTTGAACGAGTTTGACAGGGCCTTCAATCAGCTTGAGAGCGCGTCGCGCTTTTTGACCGCAGACAATGTAAAAGTCTGCTCTTCAGCTCTCTTTCCCCCCCCCCTCCCTTTGCTCTTTGGAGCGTTTTGAAGCGTTGCCACTGGACTGACTGGTTTTTTGTTTGCTTCCATCGCCAGACGTTTGTGAGCTGCAAACACGAGTCGGACAAAGTGATTGCGTTTGAACGTGGCTCCCTGTTGTTTGTTTTCAACTTCCATCCGACACAAAGTCTTGTCGACTACCGCATTGGGTCGCCTCGCCCCGGCCGGTAAGCAGAAAACAGCACGTTTGCTGCATGACATTCTCCCGAAGGCTTCCGTTTCACACGTAGATTCACACTCGTACATGCACGCGTACTTTCTCTTCGAATTGCAGGTACCTGGTTGCTCTGAACAGCGACGACAGCACATTCGGTGGATTCCAGCGCATTGATTCTTCCAAGGCCGAGTATTTCACTGCACCAGTTCCCTGGCACGAGCGTCCCCACTCTCTTACCATTTACTTGCCAGCGCGCACCTGTCTCGTGCTTCGTTGTGCGGATGAGAACTAGGCGGCACAGTTCTCCACGAAGTCGACGCCCAATTTTCACTGGACGAGTATTCCCTCTGCAGTGCAATCAAATTCAAAGTTTAATAATTAAAAAAAAATAACATCCAAGTGGGGGTGGTGATTTTTGGTGATTTTAAAAAAAGAATAGTACGTGAAAATAAAATGACCGACCACCCAAAAAACAAAAAAATCAATCAGCCGCTTGAAGAATTCTCGTTGAGGAAGGGTGATGGATGCGGTTCGTCGGTGGAGAGTGGCTGATGATTGCGTGATGGTTCAATGTCCGCCGAGGGACGAGCAGACGTATCGGGCGTTGGCGTTCGGGCAGTAGCTGTGGCAGCATCAACGGACTGGTCCTTCACCTTTGGATTGTGATTGTTTCGACCTGGCTGTCCGGCCGAATCATTTTCAGCACGAGATGGGTCTAAAAACCCTTGCGCTTTCTGGAAGGGGCTCGGAACGCGCTGACGTGGCTCCCCTTTGTCTTGTCGGTGCGGGTGCGGCTGCTGTTGGCGTTGTGCTTGGTGGTGCGCCAATGACCTTTCGGCGAGTTGCTGGTTGACGGATTCCATGGCGCTCGCAATAGCTGGCTGCGTCGAGGCTCGAGACTGGAGCTCCCGAAGCAACGCCGCCTCGCGCGTGGACAGTGTCGAGCCAGTAGGCTTGCGGGAAGGGATGGAAGCAAACAATTCTCTAAAAGCGCCGCAGACGATGAGGTCTCCATAGGCCCTGAACAATCTCTTCGCATATATCGCCAAATGGTCGAGCGTTTGGACAATCGGAGAGATTGGTATAAAACCGGGCATGACCATCAACGAGCCAAACAGCTGGCCCAAGATCAATGCATCTTGGAATTGGGCGCGGGCATTTTTGCTCTGCCAAGCCGTCTTCAATGGCATGACCTCGCTCTTGTACGTTTCACTCTCCAGCAGAGACAGTAGATTCTGCTCTCGGACAGGAAGTTTGGGTTGAGGGGCTTCTCGCATGGTTCGCACAATAAAAAACACGGGCTGCCAAATTTCGAGCAGTTTAATCCTCGACTCCGGTGCCAACGTGGGGAAGGCGAGGCTCTGCTTCATCCAAGGGAGAAGTTCCTTGAGTGTCTCGAGCGCATCGTTTTCGGTTCTGTTGTAAAGCGTGTCCCTAAAGTAGGCGTGTCCGATGTCCCGCAAACGATGCAAGTCAGAGGTCCCGCCCATGCCCGAATAGAAGGCAGAGTGCACGAGAACGTTTCGCAACCTCGCCTTGTGCAACACTTGTCGTGCCAATCCCGCTGGCGGAAATGCGCCAGTCACATTGCACGCCCCAATCAGCATGGAGCTCGTTCGGTAGCTCAGCGCTGGAAGGTCGGAAGCGTACTTGAAGAGTCGAGTGACGAGGTCTTGAAACGTGTCGTGCACATTGGCTGCATGTGTAAAGTGCTCAGGTTGTCGAGCGACGTGCCACACGGCCTGCAGCAGGTCCAAATTGGGAGCCACGTCAAGAACTTGACGCATTGCAGTGCGCACTGGGGTGGCTTTCACAACATTGTGCCCATGGATGCTAGGAAGGGCCTCGCTTAGGCTCTGAGACAGCCGCAACGCCTCAGCAAGCGCGGCGGGTGATTCGTTTGCCTTCTTGAACTGTGCTTCACACGCGGTAAGGATGTTGATGAACGCATTGTTGCCCACCAGCACGTTGCGATGCCGCCCGAGTATCGACAGCATTGACCGAAGGTTGAAGCCAAAGGCGGTGATAACAGCCTGAGTAATTAGCAGGTCATTCTTGAGCGTGAGAAGCAAATACTTTTCAGAGTCGGCCAGCGTCCATGTATCGATCGAGTCTTGAATGAAGTTCCAAGTTGTGTTGCACATCATGACAGCAGCCAAGTTGCGATAGGCTGCGTTGTTCTCCAAGCCCAGCGCGGCAAGTTCTTTGCTATAGGCGCAACTGAGGCAGTACGAAGCAACAATGCGGTGCTCGGGGGTTGGCCGTGTGGCACGTGTGACGGAAGTGGCGATGTGGTGCCATAACATGCTGTCGTCCAGTTGAGATAGCGGCAAATGGCTTAGCAACTGATGCAGCCGATCAATCGCCTGGGCCACCGCGGGATGATCGCGCAGCGGGCTCTCGGAAATTGCGCTGTCACTGATCGAACTGTAGAGGGAGAGAAGGACGTCATTGATGCCCAGGATGAGGAAACCAGCATCAATGGAAGGCATGTGGCGAGCAGCAAGGTCCCACAGCTCAGTCATGGTGCTACGTTCACTGTTGTTCACAAGATATTGAAGAACAGCAGTGATTGTCGGCATATCGATCGGAACTGGCATGCGGCGAACTAGCTCGATCAATGCGCGCTCGCCTGCTGACATGACGCCAACGAGGTCGTCGAGTGGGACGGGTGACGACGACGACGACGACGACGACGACGACGACGATGGAGAGAGCGGCGGCTGGGACGGGCGCAGCGGTGGACTGGACGATCTGGTGGACGACGATGCTGTTGTCCCCATAACACCACCAAGCGCGTCGGCTTTGTTGGAGGCCATGGAATTTCGATACAGCATTTCTGCATACGCGATCGCGGCCGGCCACTCCCGTTTCTTGGCCGCTATTACAGCGGGGCTGGCTGTCGTTGGTGTCGCTTCGGAGCCGCCAGCTTTCTTCAGAGGGTGCTCGGTCACGACTCGTTCGCGGACAAACTCGGCCATATGGGCGACATCAACGTTCTCGCAAACGTAGATGACGAGCTTGTGAAGAGTGAATGCGTCGACTTGATTCCGGCCACGAAACCAATTGAGCAAGCACTCGAGAAAAATACGCACGGGGACCTGGCGCCGCGACAAGGCGAGAATGGCTTGGTTCATGTCAGTCGCGCTGACATGACTTGGCGCGATACGAAGCACTTCTTCAGTGGTATTGAAGGGAAGCGACTTGATGCAGCCAAGCGCAAACCGTGCTGCAAGCTCGCCCTCGTACAACATTGGAATTTCTGTCGCAAAACGAGCGGCGAGTTCCGCAGCCAGGGTAAAGCGATTCGACTTGACGCAATGCTCCATGAGGAGCATCCATGCTCGAGCTGACGGACGTCGTTTGTTCAGTTGCATGGCTTCCAGCAATTCCGAGATTCCATCGTCATCTCCAGACTATGGCAAAAACAACAACAACAACAACAACAACAACAACAACAACAACAACAACAACAACACAAAAAACAAACAAACAAACAAAAAAAAAACCAAACAAACCGGAGGGCGGTGGTTGAAGCAAGCAAATAAATAAATGAGCGAACAAGCAAGCAACCTAAAAAGATAAAAAAGCGACACCAACACTGGGTCATGCAAATAGATAGACACAGATAGCCGTACCTTCACTCGAATAGCCATGCTAATTGTCAATAAGGAGTCGCCCATATCCACGCCAGCTTGCTTGGCGACCTGTGCGATCTTTGGGAGCACCGGGTCACCACTTCCGCGGTAGGAGAATGCAACCCTCGCGACTTGCTTCAAAGCCGCACTCGTAACTGCGTTTCGTTGTTGCAGCAACTCGAGAATCTCATCGGCAAATGATGAAATGTTGATTTTTGCAAAGATCAAGTCCTGAAAGAGGCGGAAAATTGGCGTGTCCTTCTTATCGACCTGCTGTGAGTTTTTTTGAAATTTGTCCCGCACAGCAGAGGCAAGCGTTGGTCCTCGACACATGGTAATCTACGTGGAAGGTGTTTGCAGTGAGATACATGAGCACGACCAACAGCCAACGACGCGTGAACAATGCGAGACGGAGCGCGCGTTTCAAACAAGACCCGCAGATCCAAAAACAAAACAAAACCAAACACCAGCCAAGACCCAAGCCAAAAGCACCACGGACAACATACCGCTGCTAGTGGCTTGAGGAAATCACCGACCATCAAAGCCGGGCCGAGATGAAGCTCAACTCGATGCAAAACCGCCAGAGTTTCTGCGGGTTCAATCACATGCACGTAATACTGAAAGCCACTGGCCAGCTGGATTAAGTGTCCGGAAATAACACGCGCATCAGGCAGCATGGCACTCGCGTTGGATTTTGCACTCGTAACCTTCTAGAAGAACAGCATGCATCAGCATCAAAACGACAAACGACAAGTGAGGACAACACACCGCGCGCCAAATGTCAAAGCTCCACCTCCCCATGTCCAAGCTCCACGCCTCGGGATGACCATCCACGACCACGGCACCCTTGGAAAACCTACCCGGCAGTACTCCTCCAGGGCGGCTTGCGCGTGCCGAAGTTTCTCAATGGACTGGACTTTCAAGCGGATGCTGCGAGGGAGCTCTTGCATGTCCTCGGCGAAATCTACCATCTCTTCTACTTCCTCCCTGGTTAGTTTACTCGGCAATCGGGGCGCAGCATGGTGGGCGAAACTCGGGGCGACTGGAGCGCTTGGATGCGATCCTGCAGACGGGAGACCAGCGCTCGCCGCAGCCGCGCCCGCTGGTTCAGCTGACATGTGATGTGCGAATGAGCTGGCTGCCTTGCTGGCGGAGGACGACACCATCCGACAGCATGCATGGAAGGGTCGGGTTCGGGTTCTCTGTTTTTGGTTGATCGCTGCTCTTGCATCAAGCGTGTCGGACGTCAGTGGTCGGGACCGCCACCCAGCAGCCAGTAATGCTGCTGCACCTGCGCCCGAGACCACCGCCTCGTGGGACGGGCGAGTCCAGCGGGGTGCAGCACTGGCAGAGGCCGTTACAATCCGCAACATTCAAGAGTGAGCCTGTCTTGGCTTACTTGGCGTCCCAATGCGACCACTTGGCTCGAGACTCGAGGTGCGATTCTGTGCAGAATGTGAGAGTGCGCTTCGATGGTGGTTGTGCTCAACAGGAATGAGGCATGGAGCGAATCTGTCGGGCAGGAGGAGCGAGCGTTTGTTGACAACAACCAAACTTGGAAAACTCAGAGATCTTGAATTCGAGTGCAGGTAGCTCGCGTTGCGTTGCGGTGATACATGGTTCTTTTCTGCATGTTTTACGTATCCTGCTCGTTCGACCAACTTGCGCGTTTGGCGTTGAAGGAAGATTTGATGCTTGGCTCGGGATTGGGATTGGCTGGACCAACATCAGCTGAAACCGTCACAAGCCGGAAAACGGAGCCAATACTAACCTCACAATTTCCTATTCAACCCTGCTTTGAATAAAGCAGACAAACATCTCATAGCATGGGCGCGACGAAAGCGCCTCTGAAAAAAAGCAAAAAGGCAATCGACAAATTGTCGGCAAGGGTCGTCCAGGTTTGGTCGACTCAACTTGCTCGCTCTCTCTTTTACATTACAATGGTACGCAAACATCGACATCGGCCTCGCCCCGTGCCCTCTACCCGGCCTTATCCGATAGACAATCATGTGTTCTGACCGATTGACGCGAGAAGAGGGGGCGGAGCAATGGAGAGTTTGGGAGCGACGGCCGGTCAAAGTGGCAGAGTTGGTGAGCGGGTTGCGGGCCCAAAGCTTGCGATTTGTTCGCTTTTCCCCTCGTTTGGCCTGCCTTGCACCTCGCCTGCCGCCGCCATACAAGCCTCGTGGATGGGTTTTGGCCAGCAGCAGCAAACTGGGGATACAGGGTGCCGGGCTGCGGTCGTTCTGTTGGGCCAATGTCCAAGTTGAAAGTTCTGGGATTTTTTTTTTTGGGTTTTTTTGTGGCTCGTCGATGAGTGTTGGAAGCTGTTTGCGACACCTGATTCACGCTTGTCGAGGAGGAGCCAGGTACCCCATGACCGTCGTGCTCCCCGTGGGCCAGCCTCATTGATCGCGGGGTTGCGGCGGTCTTTGGGCGTTCGCTCACATCCTTCTCCGTCTTTTCCCTTCGCTCGTTCTCCTCCACTCTTTTACCTCGACTCGTTCTCGTCTCGTCACTCACACTCTTCTGTTCCTTTTGCTTACAGGCTGATCTTAAGGCAAAGGGCGGCTTCGAGGAGGCCAAGGTTCACCGAATCCGCATTACCCTCACCAGCGTTAACGTCGCTAGCCTCGAGAAGGGTGAGTTTTTGCTCGTCCCCCCCCCCCTGCCTTGTTGCGGACACGAACGTCTCTGCAGCCATCCTCTGCACACGTTGTCTTTGAAGCCCCGTGGCTCTGGGAGCCAGACTATGATTTTGTTTTGTCTCGCAACCCCCGATCCTAACTTGCCTCCTCGTGTTTGCTTTGCCCTCCGTCGTCTCCAGTCTGCGCTGACCTCATCAAGGGTGCCAAGGACAAGAAGCTCAAGGTCAAGGGCCCCGTCCGTCTCCCCACCAAGGTTCTCCGCATCACCACCCGCAAGACTCCCTGCGGTGAGGGTTCCAAGACCTGGGATCACTACGAGATGCGCATCCACAAGCGCCTCATCGACCTGCACAGCCCCTCTGAGATCGTCAAGCAGATCACCTCCATCTCCATCGAGACTGGCGTCGAGGTCGAGGTCACCATTGCCGACATCTAAACATCGTCCAATAACCTTGTCCTTTGTATCTGCGTCCCTGCGCAGCACTGTGCTCCTGTCTGTGTTGCAACTGTGGTGCATTTTTTATGATGGAATGAAACAGCACGTCCTTCATTGAAGATCCGATTCCCTGTGCATGCATTGAAGCGAGTGTTTTTTTTTTTGTTTTTTTTTTGGGAGAGGATCTTGACAACGAGGTCTTTTTCGCCCCCTTGGCGTCGTCCAGAGCAAGGCTATTCGGTCGCGCCATTTCCCAAAAAAGCCCACTCTATTTTCTGCGCTTTGTCTCACGCTCATGTCGTATGTTGAATCGAACGAGGAAGCAGAATTGAACACAAAAACAAAAAACCAAAAAAAAAAAAAATTCTAAAAAAACCAATCTCACGCTTGGCCGCTGCGAGCCGCTCGAGCAGTTGCAGCTGCACTCATCTGCAAGCCATGCTGATGCCGCTTGAGTGGTGTTCTGCTGGGGGGATGCTGTCAGCCGATGCAGCGCATTCGCGAGCTGTTAAAGCAAAAAAAAAAAAAACCCCAACCCCTTTCTGGTTGCATTCATCACAACTTTCAGTTGCTGTGGGGGCAGCTCCGGAGGGCCATCCGACCACCGATTGCGCTGCGGGTGTGTTTGTAGCATTGCCGCACACAGGATGCTCCACCGTGTGCCGACTCCCCGGGCGCACCACCGACTCGCCACGGCGCGGATGCAACCACAAAAACGAAGAGAAAATAACAATAAATAATAAAAATAATAATAAACAGCTGAACGCGCGGCTTCAAAGACACACGCGTCGCTTGCGTACATATCAACGTACTACACAATGGAAACACGAATGAAGGAAACATGAATGAATTGTGGGCTGAAGTGTCGCTCCCGCCCCCCTCCCTTTTCCAACTCGCTCAAAAAAGCCCAAAAAAAAAAAAAAAAAAAAACAAAAGAAAAAAAAAAAGAAGAAACGTTAAAATTTCTGCTGCTTTTGAATTGTTTTATTTTATTTTATTTTATTTTATTTTATTTTATTTTAAATTTGTATTGAATTTTTTTTTGTTTTTTTTTTTTTGATTTCTCACTTTGTTGTTGTTCATTGTTGCGGTTGACGTTCGTTTTGACATTGCAAAAACCCCACAAACATCATCCAACAGGGAAGTCTCGGTCGCAGACGGAAAGGCAAACGTGCTGCATTACGACAATGGCACCAAGCAGTGGGTGCCGCAGGGATTGTGTCGCCTGGACATTTACAAGAACAATGCCAACCACACATTCCGAGTGATTGCGCGCGTTATGCAAAACCAGTCGCAGATTGCCATCAACTCACCCCTGGTCAAGGGCATGGTGTACCGCAAGGCCACCGACATGTTCCTCCAGTGGCAAGACTCGCGGATGGTCTACGGCGTCAACTTTAGCTCCAAAGCCGACACGGACGCGTTTACCGCTGCCATGGAGCAGGCTCTGGCCGAGCTCGACGGTGGCGCACCAGCACCAGCACCAGTACCAGCACCCGCATCCGCGCCAGCACCAACACCAGCGCCAGCAGCGGCTGCAGCAGCAGCCGTGCCTGCCACGCCGCCAAAACCAGTGACCGCGCCGCCAAAGCCGATCGTCCCTGCTGCTGCTGCCGCGCCACCGGCCCATGCCGACGACGACGACGACAACGACGCCGGCGAAGCTGCTCCAGGCTCGCTTGCTGCACAGCTCGCAGCCACCAAGCTCAAGAAGCGTGCAGACGCGCCCTCGCCAACCCCTGCAGCTGCCCCGGCGGCCTTCCACGACGGTCCCGCAGCCCACGCGCCCGTGGCTGCCACCACAAGTGGCGGGAACATGATGGACGAGATGGCGCAGAAGCTGGCGCGTCGTCGCACCGCCTCGAGCGCGACTGATGTGCCCGGATCGACCACCGCGCCGCCCCCAAGTGCTGTGACTCCCGCGCCTCCCAAGTTCGGCGGGCCTCCTCCCACGGCCGCAAAGCCCAAGGCTGTGACATCAGAGCCCGAAACCACGCCTCCCCCACCCACATCTGGCTTCACGCCGCCACCGCCGCAATTTGGCAAGCCCGCAAGCGAACCTCCGGCCCCTGCGCCAAAGCCCGCTGTCGAGCCCCCAGCGGTTGCGCACAAGCCTACAGGGCCGCCTGCGGTTGCCGCCAAGCCAGTAGCTGAGCCATCGCATTCGCCCGAGCACACCGATGCCGATCAGGCAGTCAACGGCTTCAAGAAGCACCTCGTCCCGCCACCGGTGTCGAGCAAATCTGGTCTGACGAAATCGACTGGTAAGGATTTTTGCCATGTCTTTGTGAAGTGTTTTTTTTTTGGAAGCTTTTGTGTGTGTGCGTGTTGGTCTTGGCGTCCCTTTGCCTCCCTTTGCCTCCCTTTGCCTCCCTTTGCCTCACTTTTCCTCCCTTTGCCTCCCTTTGCCTCACTTTTCCTCACGTTTCCTCACTTTTCCTCACTTTTCGGATTTGGTAGAAAACATTGCCAATGCCATTTCGAGTTCCGAGAGCACTACAATTACCGTTACTAGCGAGGAGCTGCGTGCTTTCAAGGCTGAGCTTTTGCAGGACTTCCGGAAGGAGCTCCAAGCCATGAAGCATGAGATTCTGACAGGTAAGGAGGATTTAACAAGGGTGGATGCGATCGCTTGTGCTTGTCGCGTTCATTGGGTTCTCATTTCTTTGATTTCTTTGATGTCTTGGCTTGAAATGCGCCAGCGCTCAACGAGTCACACACATAAATCACTCTCAGCGCTAGACTGAGTCGCAAGTCTCGCTCTAATGCCATTTTTTTTCTTTCTTGTGGTTATCGATTTTTTCTTTCTTTTTTGTCTTCTTCTTTCTTGTTGGAACGGAGCGTTGGCGAAATGCCGTACGCCTTGTTTTGTTCTTCAGTCGTGTGTTTGTGTGGTGTGCTTCCTGCAAGCGTGTCATGACAGTAATGTGTTTGTGTCTTCATTAACAAAAAAAAAAAAGTGGTCTTGAAATGTTTGCAGATGATTTCATGTCAACACAGCAAATCTGCGCCTTTTGAAGCTCAAGTTGAATGGTTGTTGTCGCCAAAAAGGGGGTTTTACGATTGCCATGACTTCCTTGCCTCGTCCACCTACAAAGTGTTTCACCAAGGAATTGCAATCATTGAAGGTGAGAGAGTGATGCGACCAAAGCTAAGAGCTTCGAAAACCACACACACACACACACACACACACACACGCAGCCACGGGGACATCACCGTACCAGCTTTTTGATACGCTCCAGGGTGGCTTGCTGTCCATGCGATGGATGAATGAGCGTGCAGTTTTCCGAGCCGTACGGCTTGTCAATACGAACATCATCCAGCACGATGATTGACTCGCGTTGATCGCCTTCTCCCCATTGGATCCTGTGCACAGTGCAAGTCAGATGCATATCACAATCACAAAAAGCAAACTCAACATTTGTTTGTAATGAAATCACTCACTGTCGGTGTGTCTTGGCCAGCGCATAGTACAGCTGCTGGGCTTGCGGGGTAACGCCAACGCCAATGCTGCGTGTGGCATCGACAATCTTGGTTGTCTCCTGCTCGACGCGGCGCTTGAGCTTGGACGAGTCGAGGGTGGACAGCGCGCCGAGCGGATCCCACGGACCGAGCTCGCCGCGGCTGTCCTCGGGCTGCTGTGCCAGCTGCTGTTGAATCTGTTCGTTCGTGGCCGTCACGGCGACCTCCGTCAACGCATCGCGCGAGACAATCCGGTAGCTGTGCTTGCCCCAAGGCGAGTCGGCGCGCGGCGCGAGTTCTGTTTTGGTCCCCACCAGCGTGAGTCGATCGTCCAAGCCCGTCATCGCATACGAGATGCACACCCACACACACGCAGCATGCCATGTCACCACCACCAGTGATGAGCTCCCCGTCAGAAGAGGAAGAGGAAGGTGGAAAAAAAACAGATCTCGCCAGCTTTCGCTCTGGCGTTCCCCAGTGCGTCCGCATTTGCCTCGGCTCCAAAACGCACACAAGCAAGAGCAAAACAATAAGGACTGATTCAATCGCAGGGTGGACTTGGCTCTGGACTTGGCTCTGGACTTGGCCCACAACAGAGCAAAAAACGCGCGAATTCCCGCCTTTTTTTTTTTTTTTTTTTTTTTTTGGCTGAGTTTTCCATTACAAATCAAAATCCTCACCCTGTCCCCCTCTTGTCTGCCCCCCCCCTTGTGCCCCTGTAGAACGACGATCTGTGAGCCACAGGTGAGTTTCCGTCGATACCTAAGGTGATTGTGCGTGATGTGGCATCGTCAACGACCACGCGGCCTTCGAGGACGTCGCCGTAGGTCGTCTTGAGCCGCACACGCGTCCCCACCGCTAGTGCAGACGACATCCAGAAGTTGGGACTGACGAACCATCAATTGCTAAATTTACGCATGGCAGGTCATGTTGTATTCGAATTTGCAACACTTTGACACTTTGATCCGCCATCTCCAAAATGCTCAGAATCAATCCGTTTTTGTGTTCCAATGCAATCCCAGTCATTTTTCATTTCACTTCCAAACAGGATGGTCCATCCAAAGACAGCCGTGTTCAGCGCCGCCAAAACACGCGAGATCCGCGATCACACCAATAAGGTAATGGGAAAGGAGCAATAGCAGCAGCAGCAGCAGCAGTAACCGCCGAGCACAGAAACGCATTGGCTGACTTTGGCTTGAGCAAGCGTCGATCGATGAAGGACCACTCACTCACCGTCCCACTGACACTCGCCAACACTTTTTGTCACACAGATCACCGCGGTTGGCTGGAACACGGAAGGGCGCTATCTCGGAACTGCGTCGCTGGACAAGTCGCTGCGGATATGGCACTTCAGTGTAGTCGATCTCGCTGCACTGCTGCACAGGCAACAAACTACTCTGATGTTGAAGCTCATTCTAGTGCTGGATGACCAAATATTGTTTGATTATTTTTTTCGGGTCGGTTTGGATGGACAACAATAGCGGCAGGACCTCGAGTTGAAAGGCCACACGGAAGGCATCGACAAGCTCTGCTGGTCGCCAACATCGGCTTCAACAATCTCAACGTGCTCGCACGATCGGACAGTGCGCATCTGGGACGTGCGCGGTGAGTTCTTTTGTTGTTGTGGATGCCTGGTGACTGATTCTTTGCACCAAACGACCAACACTCAATTCTTGTGTGTTTTTGATAGCTGGCAAGGTTGCCAACGTCATTCAAACCGAGGGCGGTGCTAATATTGGCCTGGCATGGAGCCCAGATGGTCAAACAATTGCTGTCGGAAACCGCGTACGTTCCATCAGTCCATTTTTTTTTTGTTTTTTTTTGCCCGAAAACACAAACGGCCGACCTCGAGATTGACGCGAGATGCACGCTTGTACAGGATGACATTATTAGCTTTATCGATGTTCGTCAAGCCAAGGTTCTCAAGAGGCTCGATCCAGAAGTGGAGGCGAACGAGATGGCGTGGAATGCCGAAGGAGACATTTTTTACATTTCCACTGGCCTGGGAGCCGTACAAATGTACCAATTCCCGTCCATGACGCGGATCAACACTGTGCAGGCACACACTGGCAATTGCGTGTGCATTCGCTTTGATCCCAAAGGCCGGTGAGTCTCGGAGCTTTGTGCGGGTTGTGTTTGCAACCAAACTCGGTCAACACTCATTTTTCGAGATTCTGTTATGCGGCACCCTCTTGGGTATACTCGACAGCTTCTTTGCCACTGGAAGCGCCGATTCGCTAGTTTCAATCTGGGATGCATACGAGCTGATTTGTCTCCGCACCGTGCAACAGTTCGAGTAACAGACCTCTTCGGCTTGTTTTGATTTGCACGGTGTTTTTGCAACGTTGTGTCTCATTCCGCTGGTGCTGACCTCCTTTGTTTGCCTTTGCACAGTTTGCCAATCCGCGCCATCGGCTTTAGCCACGACTCGCAATTTATTGCATCCGCGTCGGAAGACAAGTTCATTGACATTGTACGAGCGAGCTGGATGCTGGGTGCTGTGCCTGTTGCGCATGCTCACTTTTTTATGCACCGTCATCCCTTGCCGTGAACACTTCTATCAGAGCGCTGTCGACAATGCAGAATCCGTCTACCAAATCCCCGTAGCATCCCTTGTGAATACGCTAGCATGGCACCCCAAGGAGCACATTTTGGCCTATGGCGGCGAGACCAAAGATGCCGTGCCAATGCTGACGCCGAGTGGCAGCGGGAGCGCAGACGGGACGGTTCGCATTTTCGGATTGGCTTGAGCCTGCTGCAGAAAATGGGCTTGACAATAATTTCAGAATTGTAATACGCACATACATACATATACATCCTCGAGCGCCATCATCGTTAACACACAAGAACAAGCTCAATTCACGACGCGCAGCTCAGTGCGTGTACCGCCCTAATACTAAATCCGACAGCAAGCTGGACAGCTGCGTAGGATCGCCTAGAGCCTCGCCCAGCATCTTTTCAATGTTGCGCATGACGGATATTTTCTGCTGGTAGGTCAGGGGATGGGCAATCTCGGGAGGGCCAACGAGATACCAAAAATTGACGGAAACGGAATCGGTGAGCGACTCAACGTGATGCCACCAGTACGCGGGAATGTAGAGCACTTCGCCAGGCTCCAGAATGCATTCCCATCCATGCAGCTCGGAAAATCGTGGAAACCGCGCCAAATCCGGGTTGTCGAAATCGACCTGACTTTGCCGATCGCACGGATGGTGCACTGGATACGGATACAAGCACGGAAAGCGATCGGGAGCAAAGAGCACACACCGCTTGGCACCGCGCACCTGAGCAAAGAGGTTTTCCTGCTCGTCGTAATGGGCGGGAGTGACTGCACCAGCCATGCTGACCAGCAAGAGGTTGGTGGTCAAGTCGCTCCAATTCGCGTCGCGCTGGAGCTCTGCCAGCAATTTCCAGTTGAACTGGAGAAAGGATTCGACTATTTTCAAGCCGACGCTGTTCGAGAGGCCTTGCTGCAAGTAGACGACATCCCCGGAATGAATGCCAAATTGCGACGCGATGCGTGCTGCAGAGTCGTCGCTGGCAGCTGGCGGTTGTTGCGAATTTGAATCAAAAGCAGCAGCATCAGCAGGAGCAACAGCAGCAGCTGCTGTCGGTTGACAACAAGAATCACGTTGTGTGCTTGTCGTTGGTTCGTTGCAACTCGATTGTGGTCGTGGAGCAAATCGTTCGGTCTGACGTGCTGCGACCGCCATGCACTCGAGAAATTCGGCGAATCGCATGGTGAGCTTCCGCACATCATGATGTGATGCTTCCTGTCCCGGTGTCAGGCGAGTCTCATCAAAGTACTTGACTTTGCCAGTGCTCGACACAAACACCGTGTTGGACATTCCCAAATGCTCCTTGAGAAACTCCAAATCCCAGCGCTCGACTGCTGGTGCTGCGATACTCGAGTCTAGCAGTACAAACGGAGTCTAACACAATGTGACAAAGTTGTTGGTATCATCGAACCAACGAATTTTGCAGAATTTGCAGCAGATCAGAAAACCGGCAGATTGGAGCAAAAATTTGAGCCAAGTCACGCCTCGTAACTTCCCCCCCCCCTCCAACCTCCTGCTCTTCTCAGCCCATCACCTTGCTTCTCAGGGCGAGCCTGGCAGCATCGTCGGTGGCACGGTAGCGCGGGATGGGCTGCGTCGCAACGCCCAATTGGCGGCAGTTGACCACCGGCGAGCTCACTCCAGGCAATCTCAGCCTTCCGCGTTCAATCTGCTGCGAAATGTGCGACGCGACTTGATCCATGACTGAAAAGCAGGAGCAGAACAACCAACAAAACTCAGCACCAGCAGTGAGTGGATTTTGAGAAATGACAAGCAAACAACTCAAGAAAAAAAGACTGAAACCCAAATCAAGATTTTCTCAGAAGTCTGAGATTGTGGGATACCTTTTGCCCCCTGGTTTCAGGCTTCCTTTTTTCTACTTTGGTCACTAACACTCCTCATTTTCTCATCCTACCATACGTACAACCATACAGTCCCAGCAACAATGCCGGTCGTGTCTGGTGAGCTCGGAAACCGCGTCTCTGCCAAGCTCGGCGAGTTCCTCCTGCGCGGCCATCGCATGCAGAACGCGTACTGCCTGGACTGCAATGTAACAACGCAATCATAGATGATAGGAAGCCTATTGAAGGGGCCGAGCTCACTTCTTGACTGCCATTTGCACCATTGCACCATGTGTGTGTGTGTGTGTGTAGACTGTGCTGATGCTGGATCTGTCGACCAACCGAGAGCACTGTGTGCACTGCGATGACATGGGTCTGCGTCCGAAGGCTGCACCCGCAACCTCAACGACGACGCCAGCTGTGGTCTCGGCGGCCTCTTCGGAGCCAGCCGCAAGCGAGAAGCAAGCGCTGAGTCAAGCTGCTGCAGAGACAGCTACAAGTACCACTGCTAGTGCGAACAACGCTGATCCTACAGTTAATACTGCGAATGCTGGTGGAGTACCGGCCAAGCCGAACAAGCCCGAAGAGCATTCCGCGCATGAGGCGTATGGCAATCTCGACGAAGACTTCCAAGACGACGACGAAGAAGAAGAAGAAGATCCTGAGACAGACCGCTTGCTGGCTCAGATGATTGACGCACAGCTCCCGTCGCAGGGCATCCGCGAGTTCCTGAAGCTCGAATCAGAGCTCAAGTATCAGAAGCCTGCTGGCCGAGACAAGGCTGGCCATCACGGTGCTTCTCCTGCGTCTGCTTCTGCTGCTCGAAACAGCGGGTCTGGCGCAACCCGGGCCACCTGGCGTGACCAGTACGAGGAAATTGGTGCAGAGTATGTCAAGCAATCGCTGGGTGGTGCTCCCGCAGAGGCCAAGCCGAGCAAACCAAAGCGTCCGACGGCGTCCGCCATTCGTGGAGCCACTACTGCATCAAGCCTGCCGCCCCAGCCCCAGCATCACCAACACCCACTCGCGCAGGAAGTAGACCCGCAATTCTACCTCAAGCAGGCCATTTCATTCACCTCTGTTGCTCTGGCGACGGAAACTGTCAAACTCGGCTCGCCAGACCGCGATCTGGAGACGGTCGAGCGTTTGTCCACTGTGCTGCAGTCCCTGATCGAGTCCCTCACTGCCCTGTCACAGTTGCCCCGACGACGATAATATCTGATCATTGTTCTGTGAGGGGGGAGGGGGCGGCGTATTTTGCCCCTCGTAGCACTTTTCCGCAATGGGTTGTTCAATGCCTCGTTCGTCGTGATGCCTCAACTTTCATTCAACCCGCTTATTGGCTTCATACACTTCAATGCCCTCCTCCATCACCACCATTCAATATGTTGTTTCTTGTATGCTCAGAGCTTGCCATTCAAATCCTACCGTCAGTCTCCATTTCACAGACCTCTTTCTCACTTTCGCTCCACCCGTTCTTCAGCCATGTCCACCCAAACCAAAGCGAGCAGCCTGCTCGGCCTCAACGCGATCGTCGCTGGCTCTGGCCTGCTGCAGGACGCCGGCTTCCTCATCACCGACAAGCCGCAGCGCGAGTCGCGTCCTGGCCGCCCAGTCGTCTGCGCCCACGACGGCACCTTCCACTGCGACGAGGCGCTTGCCTGCTTCATGCTCAAGCTGACCGACAAGTGCGTCTTGTCCGAGCATTGCGTAGCGGGAACTGGGATTTGGGCGTTTTGATCCACCCACGAGGGGAAAAGCACTCACTCCAATCTCAATCTCAACACTCACTCCAATCTCAACACTCTTGTGTGCATGTGTGCGTTAGGTTTGCCAATGCGGATATTGTGCGCACGCGCGTACCGGCAGTGCTGGCCGAGGCCGATTGCTGCGTCGATGTTGGCGCTGTCGACGATCCGAGCACGCACCGGTACGACCACCACCAGGCGTCGTTCAAGGGCACATTCTCGCCTGCGTACAAGTCGCGCTTGTCGAGCGCTGGCTTGGTGTACAAGCACCACGGCCGCGAGGTCATCCGGAAGATTGTGGCCGGTGTCATCTCGCCAGAGCACCCCGAGCTCGAGGCGCAGACCGCCGTGCTGTACGAGCGCGTCTACAAGCAATTCATTGAGCACATCGATGCGATGGACAATGGCCAGGAGGTCAGCGAAAATGGCGTCCTCATGTACAACCTGTCGTCCCACATTGGAACGCGCGTGTCCCGACTCAATCCCGAGTGGAACGAGGAAGCCGACAACGCGACCGTCAACGAGCGCTTCCGTCTGGCCATCTACCTGACTGGAAGCGAGTTCCATGACTATGTGAGCGGCCAGGCACGCGCGTGGCTTCCTGCTCGCGGCATTGTCGAGGCCGCCGTCGCTGCCCGTCACACTGTCCACCCTTCTGGCCAGATTATCAAGCTCGACCAGTTCTGCCCGTGGAAGGAGCATCTCTTCATGCTCGAGGAGGAGCTCAACATCCAGGGAGCCATCAAGTTCGTCCTGTTCCAGGACAAGAGTGGCACGTATCGTGTGCAGACTGTCTCGGTGGACGAGGCGTCCTTCTTTTCATCGCGCATCCCATTGCTCGAGGCCTGGCGCGGTGTTCGTGACGAAGCCCTCTCTGAGCTTCTTGGCATTCCCGGAGCCGTCTTTGTTCACGCTTCCGGCTTCATTGGCGGGCACAAGACCTACGAGGGTGTTTTGGAAATGGCTGCGCGCTGCCTTTAATGGGAGATGGGGGGTGGAGATGTTGGTTGATGTGTTTGTGCTGTAGTAGTAGGTTTGTGCACAAATGGAAGACGTTTTCAGATCAATCCACATTGATACAGAATATTGAAGCGAAAACTACAGTATTCTGAAAACGATGCACACAGCAAAGTCGTCGTTGTATGCTTCTTCTCTGAGAGCTGTAAATGCACCAAGCGCGTTCTTTCATGATGATGAGAGTTACAAAACTCAGAGTCATAACCGAAAACCCGTTCAGTTATCGTCGTTGTTGTTCTTGGTTTCGTGCTCGCTCTTCCTCTGCGAGCCGCCGTTTGTAATCCTCGTAAAGCACCTTGCGATCAAAGTAGCGCACCTGGAATGCCAACAAAATGAGTATCGAGTCAAAAGTTGTGCAAGGCAGTCAAAGTACCGGATTCGCTGCAGCCTCTCGCGCACGCTCTACGCTTCCGCCGGTCACAGAAACAGAACAAGCACGCTCGACTTACCCAGGATGGCAAGCAGGATCCCTCGAGCGCGCGTCGCAGTTCGCTGCACGCAGAGGCCTCGTTGCCAATGTTCTTGGCAGCGCATTCATAGTACGCGTCCCGAGCAGCGTAGCACTTTTTGCGATCGGCAGCAGCCGGTGGCGAGTCACCAACACCACCATGTGGGCGATCTGGGTCTGATTCAGTCATTCTGCTTGGAGGAAGAATGGTGCTGCTTGTCGCAATGCTTGTGCACCAAAGGATGACTGGTCTGAGTTTCGTACACAAGATACAAGATTCGTGCGCGTTTGCGTTCAATGCACAAGAGCATTGTTTCAAACATCTGCGGCATTTGTACTCTTTTTGTTTTTGTTCAGAGAGACGAGGATGACGGCAATTTTGGTTTTCAGCCCTAGTATGCCTTCTGCTAAAGTTGCGGATGCTGCACTCTTACTGTCATGTTCATCGTCTCAGAATCATTGGAGCTCTGTTTGGATTCTCAACAACGATCTATGGATTTGTTACAAGAACGTAAAACACAAGCAACAGCAGCTTAGTCGACAAAAGTCTTGTTGTATGTGCCCTGGTGAAACGAGGTCGGAGGGACTCGGCAAATCATGCACTTGTCTTGACGTTGGATCATCCATTGAGCACACGCGACGCAGACACATGCGTGGCAGCACGGTATCAGCTTGGCATTCGTCGGGGCGTTGAAACAGACCAAGCACTCACGATCGCTGCCTGCAACTGTCTCTTCCTCGTTTTCTGCAACTTCTTCCCCCGAAAATCGTCTCAGGATTTCGCCGAACGATGGTCGATAGACTCGTGCGGGATCGAGGCAATCAACCGCAAGATCCGCCATGGCTTGTGCAGCCTCTTTATCTTGACTGCTCCAGTCAATTGCTTTGTCAAGCACTGAATCGATTTTACGGCTCCTTTTCAGCTGGTGTCGAACGGTAGACATCAAGTCAATGCTGGGCCGCTGTCCAGTAGCGAGCTCAAGCAGAATCATGCCGTACGAGTACACGTCCGTCTTGATGGAAACCTTGCCTTCATCGCGATACTGAGGGCAAATGTACTGAAGGGTGCCTTGAACCGTCTGCGTACGAATGTAGCTGTGTGCGTCCACCTGAGCCGGCATAGAGCGCGTCAGACCAAAATCGGCCACTTTGGCGTGAAAGTCAGCGTCCAGCAACACATTATCCGTCTTGAGGTCCAAGTGGAACAGCGGCTGCCGCGGAATGGCCGTCTGGACAAAGTGCATGGCGTTTGCAATATCAGTCGCAATGTTTTGGCGCTGCTGCCAACTCAATGCGAGCGTGCCACCCCTGCGATCGAGACGATCGCGAACAGAACCGTTTGGCATCAGCTCGTAGACCAAGCAGCGCTCGTTGTCTTCCTGGGCATAGCACATGATGATGACGATATTCGGGTGACGGAAACGCGAGAGGGCTTCGAGTTCGGCCTCGAACTGAGCGGCGCCTTGGGTTGAATTCGCTGCCATGCGTTTGACAGCGACTTGCTGACCGTTCCAGACACCAGAGTAGACATTGCCAAAGCCGCCGCCTCCAATTTTCTTGGGATCTGCAAAATTGTCAGTCGCTTGAGAGAGGACTTGGAGATCAACGCGAAGAAGGTTGGGGCTGACGGATGGAGCAGAACTTGGGGGAGAAGCAGAACTTGGGGGAGCAGAACTTGGGGGAGAATGGCGCTCGAGCTCCAGCTGGGCCATGCGAGCTTGCAGTTGACGAATATCCTCGCGATTTGTCCCTGACTTGGAGTTGGGCATTCGCAATGTAGCAGGTTTGGGAGGACGAGGCGGAGGCGTTGATGGAGAAGGAGCATGGTGGGAACTTGGAGCATGGGCTCCTGGGACATCTTCAGTTGGAACGCTGGCCCATAGTGGCGCGTGAGTGGCGTGCAATTGAGCAGGTAACGTCCGACGCTGACTGTGAAAACTGATTTTGAATCCACACGTAAGTGCTGCGCTCCATCGGACTGTGAAGAAACGCAATAATCCAGACTTACTCAGGTTGGCAGGCTCTGTTGCCGACTTGTTTCAAGGCGTTGATGGCACTTTCGGAAATGGAGTTCTCATCGAGACTAGACGTTTCAGTATGTAGTTCTCAAAGTTTGAGCGACCAATACAAGCTTTGAAATTCTGCAGCAAAGGTTAAATTACATGAGCAGAATCAGCCTCTTGTTGACCTTGAGTGCCTCGGCAATCGCCTGCGCTCCAGCGTCGCCAATCTGATTCTCATTCAGACTGTCCATCCCTCCATCAGTGAGCGCGGAGTTTTATCTGCAGGATCAAGCACTCACATGCTTTAGTCAAACGTACAAGAGCGTGTCCAGCTTCTTGTTCACTTTGAGAGCTTCAGCAATCGCCTGTGCTCCAGCATCGCCAATCTGGTTTCGGCCCAGACTGTCCATATCCCTCCATGAATGAGCACTCATATTGCCTTCTGTGGAATCAAAAACTCGCATGCATCGACTGAAGAGAAATGTCCTACCCGAGTGTCGTCAGCGTCGTGTTCACTTTGAGTGCCTCAGCTATTGTCTGTGCTCCAGCATCGCTAATTTGAACATGTTGCAGACTGTGCGTTCTCCATCAGTGAGCACTGAAACATATCTGCTGGATCACCACTCCGACGCATCAAAGTCAAAGAGATTGTGCCTTACTTGAGCCCAGTTATCGTCGTGTTCACTTTGAGCGCTTGTGCAATGGCCTGCGCTCCAGCGTTGCCAATCTGATTATCACCCAAACTGTTGGTACTTCCGTCAGTGAGCCTGTCTGACCTTGCTGCACAACTCCAATATGTCGTCAAAGTCAAAGGCGTTACTTGAGTGTGGTCACTGTCGTGTTCACCTTGAGTGCCTCAGCGATCGCCTGCGCGCCAACATCGCCAATCTGGTTGAAGTCGAGGCTGTTCACCCAGTCCATCAGTGAACACTCTGAATACCTCTGCTAAATCACCCACTGACTTTGTCAATAGCCGTACCCAAGCCAACTCAAATTCTTGTTCAATTTGAGAGCTTGAGCAATCGCCTGCGCTTCAGCATCGCCAATCCTATCCAACTGCAAACTGTCTTCACTTTGTCAACACCAGCGGCGTATGTCACACCTTCCCATAAATACGGTTGTGTCTTACTTGAGCGACCCACTTGCAAGCTTGACTTTGCGAAACAACTCGCTTTGTCTCAGAGTCGTACTCTGAGCTACTTGCGGACCTTCGGGTTGCAACTCTCGGTTTGCAACGCTGGCCCGGGCTTGCCCATTAGTGCCACTAGCCGCCACCGCTTGCAGTTCAGCAGGCGAAGGCGTACGCTGGTTGTTCACCCTGTTCGAAAATCACACACAAGTAAGCGCTGCGTTCCATCAGGTTGATGCAACAGTTCAGAGTTACCGCAGGGTGCGTTTCTTGTTGCTGAACTTGTCCAAGGCCTTGGCCTTGTACTCACGGGCGGAAATGATGTTGTCTTCAAGACTGGAAATTTCAGTGACGTAGTTCTCAAGTTCGGGTGAGAAAGCAGAAACGTTTGGAACAATGCAGCAAGAGTCCACGTACTTGAGCGTAGTCAGCGTCTTGTTGATGTTGAACGCCTCAGCAATCATTTGCGCACCAGCATCCGCAATGGCATTCTGACTCAGACTGTCCATCCCCGCTATCAGTGAGCACTCCGAATGTCCTCAGATAGCACCTATTCACACGCATCAGTCAAGGGGAGTTGACGTACTTGAGCTCAGTCAGGGTCGTGTTCACCCTGAGTGCCTCAGCAATCGCTGTCGCTCCTGCATTGCCAAACTGATTCTTTTCCAAACTGTTTGTCCGTGAGTACTCTGAATGCCGCCTGCTGAAACCACTCGCTCACAAGCATCAACAAACGAGATGCCTTACATGAGTGTCGTCAGCGTTGAGTTCACTTCGAGTGCATCAGCAATCGCCTGCGCTCCAGCATCGCCAATCTGATTTCGAAAAAAACTGTCCGTCCTCCACTAGTGAGCAATCTGAATGCCCTCTGCCTTTCACTCGATTACAAGCATCGGTCAAGGTGAGATGACTTACTAGAGCTCAGTCAAGGTGTTGTTCACTTTGAGTGAATCAGCAATCGCCTGCGCCCCGGTACTACCAATCGGATTGCGGCCAAGACTGTCCAACCCCTTCATTAGTGAGCACGCTGAATGCCCCTCCGCTGAAGCCACCCCACACTCAGATTAGTCAAAGTGAGATGACTTACTAGAGCATTTCCAGCGTCGTGTTCACCTTGAGTGCGTTGGCAATCGCTTGCCCTCCAGCATCGCCAATCTGATTCTCGACCAAACTGCCCGTCCCCTCTCCGTCAATGAGCTATGCTGAAAATCACACCCCCCTCTCACACGCATTAGTCGAAGTGAGATGCCTTACTTGAGCGAGGTCAGCCTCTTGTTCACTTTGAGCGCCTCAGCAATCGCGAGCGCACCGGCATCTCCAATGTGATTATCACTCAGACTGTCCATCCCCTCCTTCAGTGAGCACTCTCAATGTCCTTTGCTGAATCATCCACTCACATGCATCAATCAAGGTGAAATGCCGTACTAGAGCCCGGTCAGTGTCTTGTTCACTTTGAGAGCTTCAGCAAGTGCCTGCGCTCCAGCACTGCCAATCCGGTTGTTGTCGAGCCTGTTCATTCCCTCCATCAGTGAGCACTCTGAATGTCTATGAATCAGCTACTACATCCATCAGTCAAAAGTGAGATGACTTACATGAGCACCGTCACCGTCACGTTCACTTTGAATGCCTGTGCGATTGCCTGTGCTTCAGCATCGCCAATCTGCTTGCCACACAAACTAGACCCATCCTGTCAACTCACACACGTCGCCACGTTTCCCACCATAAGCTCAGCTTTCTCTTACTCGTGCCATCCACCTGCAATATTGACTTTGTCATGCAACTCTCGCTGCCTCTCAGTCATTCGCTGATACGACAGCATTGGAAGATCTTGACAAAATTGAAAACAAGGACTAGATCTTCAATCTCGATCCCATCTTCGGCTCAACTCTTTCCCGAATTATGCTCGGCATTCATGCTCATAGTCAGTGAGCAAACGTGGCGGGTTGAAAAAGGACCGGGCATGCATTGAATGGATTTGTTTGTGGAAAGCAGCGAAACACTGAGTTTTTCCATTTCCATGCTTTCGCTGTCAGACTCCGTTCTCCTGCTTTTTGGACAAACTCCTTGGTGGTTTTACGATCCGTGTTTGCTGAGACTTTGACATTTGTATTTGCAATGAACTCGCTTTTGGTCTTGTTTAAGAACGCTTTTCATTCTCATTTTTTGACTTCTTATTTTCCTTTCAACACATATACAAAATGCGTCCTGGTAAATGATTTTATTTATACGATTGCCTCATCACGCTTGCCACCCTTTTCTTGCCTTACTATCTCACTTTAGTGAGCTCCCACTTTTTTCCATGTTTTTTCATCTTTTTTGTCTTCTGAATCCTTTTTGTCCCTTTTGCCTCTTTGAGCCCGGATTTCTTCCCGGATCCACACGCATCTTGACGAATCGCACAGCCAGCGACAGAGGCAGAGTGAACCTCGAGGGGAAGGGGTGGTTGGGCGCACTGTGCAGCACCATTGAAACGAGCACATGGAAAAGAAAAGAAAGAAAAGAAAAAAAAATCGGATTTTTTTTCTTTGATCTCGAAAGCCAACGAGCTGCGTGAAAAGGCGATGCAGGGCGGCTCGAACAGCAGACAAGTGGCGACAAACGACCAAAGGGCCGCAGTCGCACAGCATGGAGCAGAACGCCGACGCACTGCACTGCGGGAAGCGCGGCTTTCTGTTCGACCGCAGAAGAGCGAAAAAAACAAAAAAAAAAAAAAAGGCCCACACATGGTCGGTGCTGCTGTGATGTCGTTCGTCTCGGAAGCGCAGGACGACAGCCAACCACCAGCGCAAATGTCGTGCTGTGATTGTGTGTTGCTCGTGTGGGCGATCGACGAGCTGTTCAGTCAAAGACAACGACGCGATCGCAAGCAAAAAAAAAAAGAAAAAAAAAAGAAACAAAAAAAACCCATGTGGCTTGAAAAAAAAAAAAAAAAAGAAGGAAAAAAAAGACAAAGTCAAGGGGAAAGTCATGTCGAAGATCAGCAGACTTTGGATGTAGAGCAAGATCTAGACAAAGATCAAGTGCTGGGATTAGAAGCAGCAACATGATCAGCGGAAGAGTCGGCTTGAAGCAGTGATGGTTGATGCAAGACGACTTGTAACTCACTTTTGATCCTTCCACCCTGTTTTTTCATTTGCGTGCTCACAGGCATGGATTCTCCTCGCGGTGGCCGTGGTGGCTTCGGCGGTGACCGTGGTGGCCGTGGCGGCGGTCGCGGTGGCTTCAGCCCCCGTGGCGGCTTTGGCGGTGATCGCGGCGGTCGTGGCGGCGGTCGTGGCGGCTTCAGCCCTCGCGGCGGTGTCGCCGGCGGCCGTGGCGGCGCCCGTGGTGGTGCCCGCGGTGGTGCCCGTGGCGGTGCTCGCGGTGGTGCCCGTGGTGGCCGTGGCGGTGCTCGCGGTGGTAAGTGACGATGTGACTCGTCCCCCATGTGTTGAACGTCTGCCTTTTGGTGCGATCGCGCTTTCCCCCTCTCACCTTTATTGATGTTTGTCTCCCGTCTTCATTGGCTCTTCTTCTGGTACCTGTAGGCATGAAGGGTGGCTCGAAGGTTGCCGTTGAGGCCCATCGCCACGCTGGTGTCTTTGTCGCTCGTGGTGGCAAGGAGGATGCCCTTGTCACTCGCAACCTCGTCCCCGGCGAGAGCGTGTACGGCGAGAAGCGCATGACTGTCGAAGAGGAGGGCAACAAGGTCGAGTACCGTGTTTGGAACCCCTTCCGATCCAAGCTTGCCGCTGCCATCCTCGGTGGTGTTGCTCAGATCCACATGCCCCCAGGCTCGAAGGTCTTGTACCTCGGCGCTGCCTCTGGCACGACCGTCTCACACGTTGCTGATATTGTTGGCCCCGTAAGTCGATGATGCAGGCTTGGAAATTTTTTGTTTGGTGACCCGATTCGAAATGCTCACACTTTTTTTTTCTCAAACTGCCTTACATCTTCAACAGGAGGGTCTTGTCTACGCCGTCGAGTTCTCTCACCGCTCGGGTCGCGACTTGATCAACATGGCCAAGAAGCGCACCAACGTCATCCCGATTATTGAGGATGCTCGCCACCCCCACAAGTACCGCATGCTCATCGGCATGGTTGACACAATTTTCGCTGACGTCGCTCAGCCAGATCAGGCCCGTATTGTCGGCATCAACGCCGAGTACTTCCTCAAGAACGAGGGCAACTACGTCATCTCGATCAAGGCCAACTGCATAGACTCGACCGCACCAGCAGCCGCTGTGTTTGCCGAGGAGGTTAAGAAGCTTGCCGCCATGCAACTCAAGCCCAAGGAGCAACTGACACTTGAACCCTACGAACGTGACCACGCTGTCGTTGTCGGCACTTACCGCCCTCCCCCGAAGGCTGCCAAGTAAAAAGGCATCCGGACTGGCAATTTTTTAACAGAATGAGCAAACAGCACAATCAAAGGCTATGCCACCAACACGAAACAATATCCGAAACAAAAAAGAATCCAGTGCGCTTCAAGGTGTATCTAGTTGTGTATTTGGCCTTTTTTTTTTTTTTTTTTCTCTCGTAGTTGGCGTGCAGTTTTTGGTTGATGCGTGTTGTTTTGGTAGGATTTGTTGTTGTTGTTGTTGTTGTTTCGTATGTACGTGTAGTGAAGATTTTTTTTCTGAATTGCTGTTCTTTCATTGATGGGATACAAGTGCACGAGAAGAGGTTTGAAACGAACAGCGAATCAAAAACGGAGAAAAGCACTTTTGGATTGCGAGCCTCCCCCCACCGATCCAAAACTTGACAGGCTCTCGTATGCTCGACAAGTCAATCGGACAAAGGCTTCTGCTTGGCCTGTCGGCGAGCTTCCGACGCAGCGCGACAGGCAGATTCCGAGTCGAAACCTTGAATTTGGGCTTGAATGGCTTCCACACAGCGGAGGACATCAGCCTCGTTGCTGCCCTCTGGATTTTGTAAGGGAGTGTCAAAATCACACACGATGGGTGCCCGAGCTCGGTGAGGGGAGAAGGAAAGGATGAATACCATTACAAGCCATCTGCACGAAACTGCCCAATTCCTTACCGAACGAAATCATCACACGAACATGATCGTCGTTAAAGCGAGGATAGCTACCAATGCTCACAGAGGGAATGTCGATGGTAGCTTGCGTCATGGCATTCGCAATCTGGGATTCAAACAGACTCGTGTACAAGATGCGTCGCGTAAATTTGTGCGCGGTCGCCAGCAACGGTTGCGCAGCATCCAGCATTTTCGAAAAGAGCATTGGGACACCTGGTAGAATGTATACATTGCCTGCCACCACGACCAGCGGTACCCACAGTCCGTCTGTTTTGAGCACTTCTCAAGCGGAATTTGGGTCTAGCAAGTCAGCAACAACAACCACAAATCACGAGCCCGCTCGATATCTGCACTTCCTCCCAGCTTGCACGTACACTTTGCTGGGGTCGGCAGGAGCGCCATGCGCTTGATGGGCTCTGTGAGCTGCATGTTGCGTTTTGCATAGTGAGCTTCCATGAGCTTGATAATTTCGGCATTGTGCTCGAGCTTGAGACCAAACGCTTTCGCAATCGATTGGTATGTAATATCGTCGTGTGTCGGACCAATACCGCCGCTTGTAAACACGAGATCGTAGTTGGCAGAGAGTGTCTGCACGGATCGAATAATGTCGCTCTCGACGTCGGGCACGATTTCCACCCGCGACAGCGAAATGCCATTGTCAAAGCAAAAGCTTGCTGTCATTCCAAGTGTACAACCGTACAGAGGGTTTCAAGTGAGCTGCGCAATCTACACCTTGGTAGTGTGAACAAGTCGCATCAGAGTCAAGATTGTTCGCGTCCAAGCGCACCGTACCAAGCTTGTGCGTGTTGACATCGTGCACCTTGCCAGTCAGCACTTCGTTTGCAATAATGCACGCTGCGGCTGTCTTGGTGGCTCCCGGGATGATTGGCACACGCGCGCTCGCCGACAGTGACGCCAAGCACCGCGCCTGTGATATTGCAGATTCAGAAGTGCAACGTTCAGCTCCATAGGAATAATACAGCCAATCGCTCGCCAACCCTCGCAATAATACCTGCACTGCAATCCGTCGCGCTGCCGTCGACATGCTCAACGCCGGTAGCATTTCGCTTTCTGCACTCGGCAATGTAGACTGATCCCAATGCAGTTCCAGCCAAATCCAATCCAAAAGAGCCAGTCCAGTTTTCTCTTTCGTTTTGCCATCCCCAATTTCGACCTCAGCCGCAGCAGCCCTCGTCCCGCCTCACGTCCGCGTCCCTTCACCCTTCACTTCAGCTCATGCCCGTCGTTGCCTTCCCACTCATCAAGCTGGGCTACCTGGCTCTGCGGCAGATGGCCAAGCCGATCGCCAACGTCGTCAAGACCTCGGTAACAGCCATTCAACTCAACCCTTGCATGTCCCGTTCCCACCACCACCACCCCAACGCGAGAGACAAAGATGGAGAGCAAGCTTTGCTGTTTCAAACCCAAGCTGCGATTCTCGCATTCGATGCAATCTCAAGTTCAAACAACGATCACAAAAAGCAATCCGTTCTCGGCATAGAAAAAAAAAACCGCCAAGATTTGGGTTTTGTTCCCAAACAAAAACCATGAATCGCTGAGATTCAAGTGGATCAATGATGACGCTTGGAAGAAAATCCATGGCAAAAAATATGTGTCGTGCCATGGTGGTTGTGGTGGTGGCTCAGCGCGAACCACGTCCCAAAACAACCCCGAAACGAGCAGAAGGCGAAAACGCTCAGACATCAACAGTACTTTGCCAGCAATGGTCACCACGTCGCTTTTTGCTCTTTGATGCACAACAGATTTTTAGGTTTGGTCTCGCTTTGTCTGTCTGCTTTGGGCTAACCACACAGGCTTGGGTTGGAATTGTTTGTCTCTTTGTCACAGGTCGTCGCGCGGCCGCTGCCCCGCAAAGTCATGGTCAAGTTTGGCCAAGGATTCAACCAAGTCTACACACGAATGCAGCTCTTGTCCATGGGACATCGGGCGACTGCGGTCAAACCTCTCACCGAAGAGCAGGCATTGCAATACGGATCGGACATTCTCGGCGAATTCATCCTGTTTGGCATTGCCGCGAGCTTACTGTTTCACGAGTTTACAGGCAGCGCAGAGAAGGAAGCGGCCAAACAGGCAAAGTTAGCGTCCACCCTGGCCGGGCTGCGAACGGACGTGACGACGCTGCAGAATCAGCTCGCCGAGAATAATGCCACAATTGCTCGCCTTTCGCTATTACTCGAAGACGAGCGTATCGAGCAGGAGCGACGCAGCCTAATGACCACCCATGTCGTCTCCAAAGCACTGGGTTCGACGACTCACTCTGCGCCACCACGGCAGGAGCACAAACCCTCACTAGCCAGTAGTGCTGCAGCTGCTGGGCCATCCACTTCCGTGTCAGTCCCATCAACGGCTACTGCCAAGCAACTGCCTTCCAGCAATGCATCCCCAGCAGCACCAGCAGCACCTGGCGCATCTCCAGTTTCGCGACACGAAATTCAGCCAACACCAACACCCTCCTCGCACGTCTCTCAGCAATCGTCGTCGTCACCAGGTTATATCTCTAGTGCACTTCAGCTCCCGAGTCGAGCGTGGCGGTGGGCAACATCATCATCCAGCAGCAGCAGCAGCAGCAGCTCGTAAATTTTTGTTCATGTATTGAAAATTTCTCTTTGTTTGTCGATACCACCACCCCCCAAGTAATACAGTACTATACTATTACAGCGATGATTCTCTCTACCTCCCTCTCCAACCTCACCAGCATCACAATGTTCACCTCAATGCGACGTACTCGATGGGCGGTCGGATTTTGAAATTTCAAATCAAAAAACGCACCAGTCCCCAAATTTCATTTTCATTGGCGCATCGTCCGTTGACCAACTCGCGCGGCATCACATAGAAATGGCGTCGTGGCTATCCAGCGCCGTGTCGTCCGTCACAAGCAACACTGCCAACCTGCGCGAGACGCTCAAGCTGCCGGACAACCTCAACGCCTTCCGCGACCAGGTGGGGGATTTTGAGTTTGAGGAAGCGCCTTCCTTTTCCCCCTTCCATGCAGACCGCACAGACAACACACTACGCCTGTCCATTGCCAGGGCTTTGATAGCAACGCCGTCTTGTCACTTTCAAAGCCTCACAAACGCGCGCTCAAGGACTGCCGCGCAATGTGGTTTGGACCTGACTGCGCTTCAGGCCGACCCCGCCACGTCCTCCTCCTCCTCATCCTCCTCCATCAGCTCCGTGACCAGATCTACTCAATGCACTCATTTGGTGGAAACATGGATGACCCAATCTTGCGAATCTTTACTCACAAACCCGCAAAAAAAAAACTTCTTGTGAATCAACACCACAGATCAGCCATTATGCGCGAGACGTACTCGTTGAAGGAACGGAAGAAACCGTCGACCTCGAAGCCGAAGTTGCAGTGCTGCGTCAGCGACTGCGGGACGCCGAGGCGACCTCCGAGTCGATGCGCCAGGAGCTCAATCAACGCATCGCACATGCGGACGAGTTAACGCAGCGTGCAGAGAGCACCGATTTGCAACTGATGGCCGTTTCGCGCGAGTACAAGGAGTTGCTCATGGCAAAGGAGGCCGAGCTCAACGACGCACAGGACAACCGCATCGCTACAGAGAATGCAATGCGCGCACAGCAACAGGCGTACCAGATCCAAGTGACGCAGTTGCACGAGACGGTCGACCACTTGCAGCACGAGATTGTGCGGGTGAGCGGCGGCGGTGGTGCTGCTGTGGCAGAGGCAATCCCGACCACCATCACTCGCATCGCGTCCGTGCCAACACTGACGCCATCATCGATTGCTTTATCAGCAGCAGCAGCAGCTGCTGCTGCACAGAGCTCGGCAAATACGAGCATGCTGGACGAGGTGGACATTGACGACGCTAGCGATTTTGGCGCAGCCGCCGCATCCCGCCGTCAGATTGAAGCGTTGAATGCTCAACTGTTGACGGCGCGTCGGGATCTCGATCACTGGAAGCGTGTAGCTGATGAAAATACATCCCAGCAGTCTCCCGCGACGGCGAACAACGGTCCACCTGCACTCCAGGACGAACTGGCCGCCGCTCAAACGCAAATCAAACGATTGAGAACCGAATGCCTGGAACGCGAGCGTCAGATGCAAGACATGGAGCAGGTCCACTTGCTCAAGATTCAAGAAGCACAGCGCTTTGCGCACCAAGAACTCGAGCTCGAGCGGTCTCGCGTCGCCGACCTGCAAGCCCAGCTGGACGAGGCGGGCGGGTCTGATTCCCAGCCAGATCATAGCGGCAAGATCTCTTCCGAGACGACTGCGAATGATGTAGCTGCCGCCACCGAGCTCGCGCGTCAGCTTGACGAGTGCAAAGCACAACTGGCACGGCAGCAAGAAGAAACCAGCAAAACCCAGCAAGTTCTGGCCCAGCTGTCCGAGTCGCAAGAAGCCGAAATGCTGGCTCTTGCCGACTCGTTCAAGCAACGCGAGAAGCAGTTGGCGATCGCATCCGACGAAAAGCACCAGCAAGCAATCAACGCCCTGCATGCCGAGCTGTTGGCCGCAAAGCTTGCCGCAACGTCTACCGTTGACGCAACCAACGAAGAAACTCGTGAGCAGATTCAACAGTTGCAAAGTCAACTGCAAGCTCTGCAGACTGACGCCCAGCACGCACACGAACAAGAGCAGCGTGCCACGACCGAAGCTGCGGAATTGCGCCAGCAACTGGAGGCGGCGAAACTGGCTGCTCTGACGGGTACTCGGGACGCCGCAGATCAACTTCTTGCATTGCAGCAGCAAGTGCAAAGTCAGCAGACAGCGATTGCCGAGGCTCAGCAGCGAGAACAGCAAGCCCAGTCCGAATCAACCGGTTTGCGTGCCCAGCTGGAAGCGGCTCAGCTCTCTGCTGCCTCCGCTGCTCAATCACGCAGTCAAGAAGCCTCTTCTCAGATTTCGGAGTTGCAGCAGCAAGTGCTTGACTTGCAGGCCAAGGTACAAGGCGCACACCAACGCGAGCAGGCGGCTCAGCTCGAGCAGCAAACGCAGTCCACCGGCAACCAAGAGTTATCCATGCAAATTGTCGAGCTACAACGGCAAGTGCAAGACCTGCAGGCCAAGGTACAAGGTGCACACCAACGCGAGCAGGCGGCTCAGCAAACGCAGTCCACGGAGATGGCGCAGCTTCGCCAGCAGTTGGAAGCGTCACATGCCGCGCTTGATCACGCCAAGCAGGCATTCCAGGCAGAACAGGCGACTTGGGTGCAGCATGAGCAAGATTTGAAGAGTCAAGTGTTGTCCAAGTCTGCCGATCAAGATACTGTCGCGCTCTCGCGCGTGCATGAGTTGGAAAATGCCCTGTCTCAGCTCACAGCAGGTACGTGCAATCTTCCTGACATCTCGTGCAGGCATCATGTGTGAATGCCATTGACTTTTTTTTTGGTGTGCCTTCCCCTCTTTGCCTCTTCAGAGCTGAATAAGGCGAAACTTCATGCAACGCAAGCTGATGCTGACACTGCCCGACTTGTGGACAAGCTGCGTGTCGAGCAGGTATTGTTCCTGTATTCTGTATTCATGCAGTTTCCTTCCATGTTGCAGCTGCTCATTCTATATTCTTTGCTGGAATACACAGGAGCGATCAATTTCCTTGGACACCCAAGTTACCGCCCTGCAGACAGACCTGCAACGCGCGCAACAGTCCCAGCACGAGCTGTTCGGCAAGCTCCAACAGGCAGAGGCTCAACGGACGGATTCGTCCAGCCGCGTGCAGCAAATCCTCGACGAACACATGTCTGCAGGAATGGAGATGGAGGCCCAGTTGAAATCCAAGCTGGCTTCCTTGGAGCAGCTGCACGCTCAATCGACGCACGATCTCGGCGCAGCGCGACACGAAATTGAATTGCTGCAAAATGAGATTGCGAAAGGCGAGAAGACCACGGCACGGCTTCGACAGCACCTCCTCGAGATTGAAGACACGCACACGACGGAGGGCGTGGTCCGAGAGACACGCATTGCAGAGCTTGAGGCCCAGATTGCAGAGCTGTCAGAGCGATCGCAAGTCCAAGCCAACGAAGGCGAGTCTGCGCAACTCGATTTGGCTCAGCGCCTGCAAAAGTCGGATCAGCAGGTTGCTCAACTCGCGCAAGAGCGAGATGCTTTGCAGACCGCACAAGTGCAGCTTCGACAGGAGCTTGAGCAAACCAACACTGCACTTTCCAACATGCAGCTGGTTCTGGACCAAATGACACGAGGTGCGCCGCCGCCGATTTCCGTCCTGCGAGTGTGGTGCATTTCAGTCACGTTTTTTGCAATGTTGCTCATTTCTTTTTCTGCCTTTGTCGTTTTTTGTATTCCTGCAGATTCACAATCGACCGAGTCTCTGAAACTCGATAAGGCCATGCGAGATTTGGCTGCTGCCCACCGTGAGCTCGCTGCTGCAGAGAGCAAGATACAGGAGCTTGAGGTTTGTTCGGCAACAGCAATGACCGGAACGAAGTGGTACTAGTACTCACTGTGTCGGTGTCTATCATCACAGCGTGCTCTCCCAATGTTGCAGCAGTACGAGTCTCAGGTCATTCAGCTTCGCGGGGCCCAATCTCTTGCAGATCAACAGCTGCTGGGAGCCCGCAACCAAATCGCCGATTTGAATCGCTTGTTGAAGGAAAGCCACGAGCGCCTCCGCCAAGCATTGACAGCCACAACAAGCAACGCCATTGACAAGTATGGGAGTTTGCGTATTGCGTGCATGATTTCATCCAGTTGCAAGTGACTCATTCAAATTTGCACCGCTTGGCGTTTTCTGCTGCACTGTCAGGGGCTTGGTCAAGAACCTGATCGTTTCGTACTTTAAGACAAACAAGAAGAATGAGGTCTTGAATCTTATCGGCAATCTTTTGGAGTTTGACGACGCCGAAAAAGCCGCGGTAAGGGCAGTACCGTGATAGCTTTGGTTGTAAAACCCTCACTGACTCACTCACTGGGTATCTTACAGGTCGGCATCGGCCGTGGAAACGTGTGGTCCCGTATTGGTGGTATCGCTTCCAAGTTAACAACTACCATTGGTGCCAAGCCAGCCGGAGTGGCGGCAGGCGAGCACGGAGAGGTACGTCATTCATTGTTCATTCTGTGCTGCAATCTCCGTCACCTCACTTCATCTTCTGGTACGTGGTTGATTGTTAGACCTTGTCCGATCTCTTTGTCCAATTCTTGCTCGAACACTCCAATCCAGCTCCAGCCAGTTCGGGCGCATCCGCTACATCCGACACCACTGCTGCTCCTGCAGTGGCCGAGTCCAACTCTGCATAATATTTAATCGTGCTCTGCATTCATTTTGATTTTTTGGTTTTCATAACAAGCTATTTTGGGTATTTCTTCGAATCAACATTGAATCTGGCTGCGAATGGGGTGGGAAAAAAAAGTTATTCAAGTAACACAGCCTTGGAGCTGATCAAGAACATTCAATGCCAACGATCACGATACACATTACACAGACACAACACTGGATAGTGGAGCGGACGCTTGCCAGTCCTCCCAGTGCACACAAGGCGTTATCGTCAGGTCTTAAGCATCGAGCGAGTCCTCTTCAGCGTCGAGGTCGCCGCTGGCCTCTTCTTCGCCAATCGGAACATCCTCGTCGTCCTCTTCGTCTTCGGAGCCGCTGGAGTCGTCGTCGCCTGGTCGCTCGGTCTGTCGTCGTGCGTAATCCTCCATGAGCTCAGCAAGTTGCTTGTCGTCTGTCTCGGTGACGGCACGGGGCTTCACAGGGCAAGGAAAAACAAAGAAGATGAAGGGGCAACCAAGCAAGATACATGGGTGAGTGCTACAGCTGCAAAAACAAAACAAAAACAGTGGATATCACGGCCCAAAAGGACAAACCTCGTTTTGGACGTGAAGTACGCCCTTTGAGGCGGTGATGCTTTCTCGAATAGCTTCAATGGCGTTGGAAAGCGCCTTGATACCCTTCTCGCGGTCAAGCGAGGTGGTGGTCATGACATACAACGGGGGTGCAATCAAGTTGATCTGCAAAATCCCGATTTAAAAAAAAAAAGTGTGATGAGAGGTCGAATCACCCAAAAAGCCAACACGACAGCCAAAGAAAACAACAGCGCGACAAATACCTTGACGGGCTGTTGCTCTGTCGAAACGGCAAGACCAGCGCGCAGGGCGTTCTTGACGGCGTCAATGCCCTCGTACGCGTAGCACGCAACCTCAATGTCGGCGCGGATGCGCATTTGCTGGGGAGCGAGTTTTCGGCGAATGTTGGCGAGCAGGATCTCGCGAGTCTTGGGGTCGATCTGAAGGTCCTTGAAAATGAGATCGGGGTCCCTGATCATGGTTGAAAGAATCAAGAGGCAAAAAAGGAAAGGAGGGTGAGCTCAAGGATCAGCTTTCGGAGCAAGACGAACAGCAGCAATCAACAAAACACAGTTGTACGCACGAAATGGCAAGTTTGAAGGCCTCGTAGCACGAGCCGGGGCCGCCGAATCGCTTGTCGAGCTCCCAGGCGGTTTGTTTGTACAGCTCCTCGAGGTCGATCTTTTGGACCTCTGCGACATATCGGAGCAAGTTGTTGACCGTTTTTGCCTAAACAGACAACAAAGCAAAGTGAGACATCAAAGTTTCGTTGAGCGCTGTCGTTCTTGGTTGTGTTGTGTATGCAGAACAACGAACGAAACAAACCTTGTTGAACTTTTCCTCCGCCTTGCGGATTTCCTCAGCAGACACGCGGCGCTTGGACAAGTCAATATAGCCTGCGCAACGGCACACATGTTTCAAACCAATCGAGTCAGTGCCATGGGAGGAAGCAACAACGCAGCCAGGATTGCAGCAAAGTGACGAAATCAGTGAAGCAGTGCAGCATCAGTGAATGATGCAGGCGTTTCGAACAGTTCCACTGCCTGACACATGCTTGTGTTCTCCTCCTCCTTTGGTCTTCTCCTCGCCACTTTGGAACCCCCCCCCCCCACCCCGGAAGCCCCCGCGCTCCCCAATGCACAGGCAAAGAAGACAGATCTCGCGTTAACCTTTTTTTTTTTTTTTTTTTTTTTTTTTTTTCCGTTGGTCGTTGGTGGGTCGCACACTTGGCGTTTCCGCGGTTTGCCACCACTCTGCGCGGCTGCAGATCACCTCGCGCTGTGTGGCCCCAACTGACATGCGGCTGCCCAACCGCAGCACGCAATCGAGAGCCGTTCCATGGGGCCCAGGCGATTATTTTCCAATGCAGATTGTCTGGGGGCTTTTTTTTTATTTTTTTAATATTTTTTTATTATTTTATTATTTTTCCACGAGGCGACACGCGCTTCCTCCATTCAAGTCGCCCCCATTGCAGTTCGCTCGTCTGCGTGTGGCCGTGCTTTTGCACCTTCATTCGTGATGGAATGAGTCACATTGAACCCCTTCCTCGCCTTCCCCGCTTCCCCTTTGGTCCCGTCCACTTCACCCTCTCTCAAGCAAAGCGGCAACAAGAAGCACAGAAAAAAAAAAAAAAAAGTTGGCTGGAAAACCATTACAAAAAAAAAAAAAAAAAAAAAAAAAGCTCGCTTGCACTTCTACTTCCTCCTGGGACGAGCGACCCTGATGACAGTGATGATGAGACAAATGCTGTTGTTGTTGTTGTTGTTGTTGTTGTTGTTGTTGTCGCGGTCGACACGGAGAACGACGACACACTCGCTCTTGCCGACGCGGATGAGCTTGAGCTTGTTGACCGAGCGGATGCGCCGCCGAGAGAGCTCGCTCAAGAGGATCATGCCCTCAATGTTGTTGTACTCGAGGAGGTTGACGTACGCACCCATCTCGGCGATCGAGCGCACATTCACAACCACAACGTCGTCCACTTCGGGGAAGGGCTGCTCGTAAAACCGGCACGTCAAAGGCATTATTAGGAATGAGTGAAGAAAGGAAGACTGATCTGAGCAAATCTCAGCAAAATCGAGGACTCGAATTGGACGACAGTACAGTACGATGTTGAATGAACGCGTTGTCGATAGGCAAAGGGGTTTGTGATAGAGTATTGCAGATAGGGTTACGAGAGCACAAACAAAAAGCAACCCTGCCGCATGAAGCTGTCGCGCCCTTGTTGCCCCCAGCGACGCCCAACAACGCTCAAAGTTCAACTCCAACGTCAGTGAAGACTGCGATCTGGGTGATTTTTGAACAGTCGTGCACTGGCGTTGAAGTGTTCTGAGCATTGTCGTATTGCACTCTTCCGATGCAATACCCCCAGCTTCAACATCCAACTGTTTGCTTCATCTATTACTGTACTGATGTTTTGTCATTTCTCTTTTTTGTTCTTTCTTTCTTCTTCTTGTCTTACTTCTCTCAGACAAAACTTGGTTACCTCATCCACGGAAATGGCTGCCAATCCGGTCGCTGTCTCGATGTCTGCTTCCTCATCGACCCCGTTCGCGTTCGACAATGCCATCAGTCGCAAATCCACCACTACTTCTACTACCACCAGCACAACCAGCACAGCGACATCCGCACTGCCTGTCATTGAGGGATGGCTTTCGTCCCTGTTGCGCAACGTTGCTGGGCGCGGACTCGTCTCGCCGCACCCTTCGCTCGCCACCCCGCCAATCTCATCCGCTGCACTTGGGCAGGACCTGACGAGTGCTGCTCACGCTGGTGCGCCAGGGCTGCAGCAGGATCGCGGTGCACTCCATCCGGAGGCGATTTGGAAGCAGCGCCTCGAGCAGCGAATGCGCACCATTGGCGCTCAATCCTCAGGCGCTGGATCAAGCTCAGGTGCTGGATCAAGCTCAGGATCAAGCTCGGGATCAGGATCAAGCTCGGGATCAGGGTCGAGCTCGGGATCTGGATCCTCCGGGTCAAACACTGCTGCCGCCTGCTCAACCACGACGATCGACATCCTCAACCCCCATGCTGCTGCATTCATGAGTAAGTTGTGTTTTTTATCGCTCAATCTCGACATGGGATAACAACAACAAAAATATTGTCCAACAAAAAAAATGGCACTCATTTCTCAAAACCCATTGCTCCCTCACCAGATTTGGGCGCCCATGGTGGCTGCCTCGGAGGTTTTGGCGAGGCAATCGAGTTTGCAGACGCACCACCCGTGCCAACGACAGCGGATGTGTTTTACGCATCGTTGCAAGCGGCGCTACCGTCACAACTCGTATCCGGCGCTGGCAAATCCATCGGCTCGTCAGGCGACGATCTGTTGTACCTCTCTCCCGACGAGCGGGATGCAGAGCTGTCGTGGCTTCTGGATGGTCCCATCGCGGAGGTGCAGCAAGGTCCGCGCGATCTCTTGGCCGAAGGGATGGCCATCTCGCAGATGGACGACACCCCAAACAACAACACAATGGACGGCACTTGGCTGCGTCGTCAGCTCGTCCGCCGGTTTGACGACGCTGCCGTCAAGACGGTGGCGATGGCTATTTTTGAGGTTCTTTCGGCTGCGCGCGATGACTCGGAGCTTCAAAACAACCTGTTTGAGCTGCTTGGTTCGGACCACTTTGACTTTATTTCCGAGCTGGTCACCCACCACGTTGCCATTGTCAAAATGACCAACGAGCGTCTGGCCGCTCACAACGCTCACATGGCCAGTGTGATGGGAAGCGCGTCGACAGCAGCAGCTCAAGCAACCGCCCCACCCACTCAACACGCACCTTCCATCTCTTCCAACGTGGTCATTCGTTCGGAAAATGAGGTGCGTCTGGCAAAGCTACTCCGCAAGGACGCCAAGAAGGATGCGCGGCGTGCAGCCCAGCTCGGCGGGAATCATACCGCCGACGCTTCGTCGAATGCGCTCTTGGCCGCACTTGGCTTTGACGACGGCGAGATCTCTTCTGGCGCTGGTGGATTCGAGTCCCTGCGCGCCCAACGCGAGGCCGCTCTTGCCGCGGCCGCCAACGCGCCACTCTTCTCTTCGTCAGATGGAGCCGTGCGCTCGGAGCAGTATCCGCACGTCTACAGCTCACTTCTCGAAGCGCAAAAGTCGACAGCGCTCGTTGGCGGGACCAAGTTGATGTTGCCCCTTGGCACCAACCGCAACGACACCAAACTGTACGAGGAGTTTACCGTGCCGCCTGCGCCGCGTCAGCCAATGCGTTCGTCCGAGCGACTGGTGCCCATCGCCGAACTGGACGCGCTCAGCCAAGCGGCCTTCCCGGGCGTTCGCACACTCAACCGGATTCAGTCCATTCTCTTTGACGCCGCCTTCAACACGAATGAAAACCTGCTTGTCTGTGCTCCGACGGGTGCCGGCAAGACCAATGTGGCAATGCTCACTGTTCTGCACGAGCTGCGCCAACACCTGACGGCAGGCAACGTCATCCGCACGGACGAGTTTAAAATTGTGTATGTGGCGCCCATGAAGGCCTTGGCGGCAGAAATGGTGGCCAACTTTGGCAAGCGTCTCGCTCCGCTGGGCATCACCGTGCGCGAACTCACTGGCGACATGCAACTGACCAAAGCTGAAATTCTCGCAACGCAAATGATTGTCACGACCCCCGAAAAGTGGGATGTCGTGACGCGCAAGTCCACCGGCGACGTGGCCTTGGCCCAAATCGTTCGCCTGCTCATCATCGATGAAGTCCACTTGCTGCACGACGACCGTGGCCCAGTCATTGAAACGATCGTGGCTCGCACGCTGCGCCAGGTCGAAACCACCCAAAACATGATCCGCATTGTCGGCCTCTCGGCCACCTTGCCCAACTATGTTGACGTTGCCGGGTTTTTGCGCGTCAATCCCTACAAGGGCCTGTTTTATTTTGACAGCCACTTCCGACCCGTGCCGCTCTCCCAGCGGTACATTGGTGTCAAGACCACCAACATCCACCAGCAACAGAACGACATGAACCAAATCTGCTTTGACAACGTGATTGAGAACGTTCGCAAAGGCCACCAGGTCATGGTCTTTGTGCACGCTCGCAACGCCACAGCAAAGACGGCGCTTGCTCTGCGTGAGATTGCCGTCAGCACGCAAACCCTGCCGCTGTTCTCGCCAAAGCAGGACGAGCGATTCCCAGCCGCGGACAAGCAGTTTACGCGATCGCGCAATCGCACGCTCCAGCAGCTCTTTGGCGACGGGTTTGCCGTTCACCACGCCGGCCTGTTGCGCTCGGATCGCAACCTTGTCGAGCGGTTTTTCGCGGACGGATTGATCAAAGTGCTGGTCTGCACGGCAACGCTGGCTTGGGGTGTCAATTTGCCCGCCCATTGTGTCATCATCAAGGGCACCCAGCTGTATGACTCCAAGAAGGGTGCCTTTGTGGACCTGGGTATTCTGGATGTGATGCAAATCTTTGGTCGCGCCGGTCGCCCGCAGTTCGACACGCACGGCGAGGGCATCATCATCACTGCCCACGACCGTTTGGCTCACTACCTGTCCATGATGACGCACAGCGTTCCGATCGAGTCGCAGTTTATCAACCAGCTGGCGGACAATCTCAACGCCGAGGTTGCTCTGGGCACGGTGGCGAACGTCGACGAGGCCGTCCAGTGGCTCTCGTACTCGTACCTCTACGTCCGCATGCTGAAAAATCCGCTCGTGTATGGCATGACTGGGCTCGAGCGCGACAACGACCCGGCCCTCATCAAGCGTCGCACGGATCTGATTCAAATCGCTGCGCGCCAGCTGGACGCTGCCAAGATGATGCGCTTCAATGAGCGCACGGGCTCGCTTGCCGTCACCGATCTGGGTCGCACCGCAAGTCACTTTTACATCCAACACACGAGCGTGGAGATCTTTAACAAGATGCTCCGCCCCACAATGACCGACTCGGAAATTCTCGCGTGTCTTTCGTCGTGCACAGAGTTTGAAAACCTCAAGCTGCGTGACGAGGAGGGCGACGAGCTCGAGCTTCTCGAGCGCCAGTACTGCCCAGTGAAGGTGGTCGGAGGCTCGGAAAAGTCGTTCGGCAAGGTCAACATTCTGCTCCAAGCCTACGTCTCGAACGCGCAGATTGAGAGCTTTTCGCTCATCTCCGATGCTGCCTACGTGGCCCAGAATGGCTCGCGTATCATGCGAGCCCTCTTTGAGATTGCCATCAAGCAGCGATGGCCGTTGCTTGCTTCACGCGTGCTGACGCTGTGCAAGACGGTCGAGAAGCGCATGTGGCACAACGACACGCCCTTCCGACAGTTCCCGCATCTCGCGCCCGAGCTGCTCATCAAGCTCTCTGCCAAGAATGCGACCGTCGAGCAACTCCGCGACATGTCTGCCACGGACATTGGCCACCTCGTCAACCACATCCGCATGGGGCCCGCCGTCCGAGCATGCGCAGACCAGTTCCCGACCATGTCTCTCGCCGCCACCTTGCATCCCATCACCCGTTCAGTCGTGCGCATTGAGCTGACCTACGTGGCCGAGTTTGACTGGTCGGAGCGCGTTCACGGCACCGCCGAGCCTTGGTGGATTTGGGTCGAGGATGCCGAATCCGAGCACATGTATCACACCGAGTTTGTCATGCTGACGCGGCAGGACATGAGGCAGCCCAAGACCCTTGTGTTTACCATTCCGATTTTCGAGCCTTTGCCGCCGCAGTACTTTATTCGCGCCACCTCAGACAAGTGGCACGGTGCAGAATCCGTCATTGCGCTGTCCTTCAAGCACCTCATTCTCCCCGAGCAGCACCCTCCCCACACCGAGCTGCTGGATCTGCAGCCCCTGCCCAAAGCCGCTCTGCGCAACCCGGCGTACGAGGCGCTCTACCGCTTTTCGCACTTCAACCCCATCCAGACGCAGGTCTTCCACACGCTCTACCACACCGATCACAATGTGCTTCTTGGCGCCCCCACGGGTTCTGGCAAGACCATTGTTGCCGAACTTGCCGCCTACCGCGTCTTCAACGAGTATCCGCACACCAAGGTCGTGTACATTGCCCCCTTGAAGGCGCTGGTGCGTGAGCGCATGGACGATTGGCTCGAGCGCTTCCAGCGACGCCTCGGCAAGCGTGTGGTCGAGCTCACCGGCGACTTTACTCCCGACCTCCAAGCGCTTCATCGTGCCGACGTGATTGTGACAACGCCTGAAAAGTGGGACGGCATCTCTCGCAGCTGGCAGAATCGTTCCTACGTGAAGGCTGTCTCTTTGATCATTATTGATGAGGTTAGTATTCCGGTGGGAAGGTGCATGTCGTCGGTGGGTGGTGGAAAAAGTACGAGGAGGAAGAAGCAGAAACACACGAAAAGGGGCTGCAAAACCAATCGAATCATCGAAAAACAAAACTGGAAACAGGACCTGTTGTTTGACCAAGTTCGGTTCATTACGAAAAAAAAAACTGCTTTGTGTGTTGCGCTCATTTTGCTGCCATTCTCCAAACGCTTCTTTTGTTGCTCGTTTCGGATTAGATCCACCTGCTCGGCGATGATCGTGGCCCCGTTTTGGAAGTCATCGTATCGCGAACCAACTTTATCTCGGCCAGCACAGACCATGCTGTTCGCGTTGTTGGTCTCTCGACGGCCTTGGCGAACGCCCGCGACTTGGCCGACTGGCTGGGCATTAACGGCGCACAAGGCTTGTTCAATTTCAAACCAGCAGTCCGCCCAGTCCCACTGACCGTTCACATCCACGGCTTCCCCGGTCGGCAGTATTGCCCGCGAATGGCTACGATGAACAAGCCCGCTTACGCGGCCATCCGGGAGCACTCGCCAGAAAAGCCCGCGTTGGTGTTCGTCTCGTCGCGTCGGCAAACGCGCTTGACGGCACTGGATTTGATTTCGTTCTGTGCGCGCGAGGACAATCCAAAGCAGTTTTTGCACATGCCCGAGCACGAGCTTGAGCCGCTTTTGGACCGCGTGCACGACACCAACTTGCGCCTCGCCTTGTCCTTTGGCATCGGCATGCACCATGCCGGTCTGCACGAGCAGGATCGTCGCCTTGTGGAAGAGCTGTTTGTGAACCAAAAGATCCAGATTCTCATTGCAACCAGCACGCTCGCCTGGGGTGTCAACTTCCCAGCCCATCTTGTCGTTGTCAAGGGCACAGAGTACTTTGATGGCAAGACGCATCGGTATGTCGATTTTCCAATCACGGATGTGCTGCAAATGATGGGCCGAGCAGGACGACCGCAGTTCGACGACACGGGTTGTGCCGTGATTCTCGTTCACGACGTCAAGAAGGACTTTTACAAAAAGTTCCTGTACGAGCCCTTCCCCGTCGAGAGCAACTTGGCCAACGTGCTGCCAGACCATCTCAACGCCGAAATTGTCGCTGGCACGATCACTTCCAAGCAAAGCAGCGTCGAGTACCTCACGTGGACGTACTTTTTCCGTCGGTTGATGATGAATCCGTCCTACTACGGGCTCGAGCTCGAGGATGCGCTGGACCCCGTCGAGCGCCAGCGCGCCGTCAGCCGTCACTTGTCTGAGCTGATTGAAGAAGCTCTTCGCAAGCTCTCGCACGCACACTGCGTGACTGTTGGCGACATGCCTGCCCTTGAGGCGTCGCACAAGCAACACGAGGGCAAACGAGGTGGTGGCGGCCAGCAGCTTCACGACAAGGACATGGCCATTGCGATTCCAGCTGTTTCTGTCGGGCCAACGCCCTTTGGACGGATTGCTTCGTACTACTATCTTCGACACGAGACGGTTGGCCGTTTTGTCAACCAGCTCGCCTTGTGCCAGACGCTCGAGGAGGTCTTGGTGCTGCTCACCCAGGCGCAGGAGTTTGCCGAGCTTCCAGTGCGTCACGCCGAAGACGAGCTCAATGCCGAGCTTGCCGAGACTCTGCCAATCAAGCTCACGAGCAAGATGGACTCGCCGCACACCAAGACGCATCTCTTGCTCCAGGCGCACTTTTCGCGCGCCCGCTTGCCGATCGTCGACTATGTCACCGATACCAAGACTGTGATGGACAATGCCATTCGTGTCAGCCAAGCCATGATCGACTCTGCCGCCGAGCTCGGTCTGCTTGACGCGGCGCTGCACGTGATGAATATTGTTCAGATGATTGTTCAGGGTCGCTGGTACGACGAGTCTCCGCTCATGATCCTGCCCCACTTTGATGAAGACCTGAGCGACAAGTTTGTCTTTGGCGACCAGCCCATTCGTGATCTTCCCACGTTGCTTGGAGTTGCTGGCCAGCGAGGCCGGTTCCATGATCTTTTGCGCAAGTCGAGGACGCGCCCACAAATTGATGAGGTGAGATTTCGTAATTTGGGCTTTCGTGCTGCTATCTGCAACGTTTATTCTATTCGTCTTGACTGGTGTGCCAGTCTTTTTTTTTTTTTTTTTTTTTTTTTTTTTTTTTTTTTTTTTTTTGGTTTTCGGAAGTCTGTGTTTCTTACTTGTTGATTTATTTGTCAAACACAGATGTGCGACGCCATTGCTCAATCGTGGATGTCAAGTTCGAGATTGGCACGGATTCACAGACTCTGCTTGTGGATACAGAGTACGTGCTCAAGGTGAACATGACGCGGTCTGCGGCACATGAAGGCGCGAGTGGCAGCGGCAGCAGCAGCGGCAGCAACAGCGGCAAAGGACGGAATCAGCAACATTCGGGACATCGTGCATACGCGCCCCGTTTCCCGAAGGGCCAGGACGAAGGCTGGTGGCTTGTGATTGGAAGTCAAGTCCCTGAAGATCAGCAACCAGCAGAGTTGCTCTCCCTCAAGCGGGCATCCATTCGAGGCCGTTCATCAACGACTTCCTTGTCATTCTTCACCCCTGATAAGCCAGGCCGTTACGTGTACAAACTGTTCGTCATGTCCGACGCCTATCTGGGCTTGGATCAAGAGTATGAGATTGCGTTCGACTGCGTTGCGCCGGAATCCACTGCTAGCGATGTTTGAGCGATCGGTTGTCTGTCTGTCTGTCCAAAAATTGCATCATTCTTCCTGCGAATCGTGGATACAACATTGGCGAATCTAGAAAAAGCGAAAATCGATAAAATTGACAAAAAAAAAATAAACAAACTTTGAAACGCACAAGCAGACAAAACAGATTGTCTATTCAAAGGTGTCTTGATCAGAAGACAACCGCCGCAGTTTCACGGGTCGTTCAGCCTCATCCATAGTGCGTCGTCGTTGATAGGCAGCACTTCTGTCCAGAGAGAAAGCAAAAAAAAAAGAAAGAAAAAAAAGGGCGATTTGCGGTGGATCAACGTCAAAGTGAGAAAAACCGACAACCGCCTTTTTTCGACATCAAGAAACAAAAACCATTCGCTCTTACCCATTGATCAGGGAGGTAAACATGGGCGTTACGGGCGTCGAGCTCAGACTGCCACCACTCATGGCGGCGGTGGCAGCGCTGAACGCGTCGTCCAAAACGGCAGGACCGCCGGCAGATGCTGCTTGAGCCGCAATTCGTGCAGCTGATGGCACGACGGTCAGCCGGAACAGGGAAGTTGCGGTTCCATCAGCAGGAGCAGGACGCAGCGATTCCGCCAACTCTTGGACGTCTTTGGCAGCAGTTTCCAACGGAATCTGGGAGTTCAAGCCGAGCTCGTTGGATACTCGTTCAAACCACGTGTCTTGGCTGATTGGAGGCTCAAACAGAGCCTCATTCTGCAGCTGTTGTTGTTGTTGTTGTTGTTGTTGTTGCTGCTGCTGTTGTTGTTCTAATGGTTGCATGGGTGGTGGTTGGGAAGAAAGCTGTTGCGGCCGTTGCTGTTGTTGTTGCTGCTGCTGCTGCTGCTGCTGCTGCTGCTGCTGCTGTTGCTGAGATGACTGAGATTGGGCTGCAGCTGAATTCAGAGGTTGTTGCTGGGGTGGTGGATTCGAGGCATTGGCGCCACGAATTCCAAACTCTTCACGAAGCAGCGACAGCGACCGCGAATTGGCCAAGCCCAGCTGCGACAAACCAAGCGATGAATCCAAGCGCAAGCTCAAGTGATCGTTTGCCATCGTCTTGGATGCTTGGTTTGAGCCATCGACTCCACGAGCGCCCCAAAATCCATCTGCACTGGCCTCGCACTGGGATGACCAGTTTGAAACGAAACAAAGACCGAACAAGCAAGTGAGCATAAGAAATGAAGGACACACACTTCGCTTTCAACATTGCCTTACCGGATCAAGGGTAAAATTGCTAAAGGCTTGTGAGAGTAGAGCCCCGGAAGGAGGAGCTTGAACTGTGGTCGCGGCTGCTGGCCCAGAAGCAGTCGGGGCTTGGGGTCGGGCGGGGGTGGCAAACTTGTCATCGTTGGTTTGCTTCACCGGAGTTGTAGTAGTCGTTGTCAACGTCGATGGCTGTTTACTCACATGCGTTTCCGCGCCGCTAGTCAGTCGTTGGTGATATTGCTGAGATGCGGTTTGGGCGGGTTGAGCGTTGGTGGGCGGCGACGACTGCGACCGTTCCAGAATCATTTGGTGGAGCTGGTGTTGCGCAGGCTGCGCGTGTGACTGTGTCGTGTTGCTCTGTGACTGGTGGAAGTGCGGCGAGTCCTCAGCCATGACAGCAGCATCGTCGTCAAACAAGGAAGCGAGGGGTGATTGCTCGTCCAACGCTGTTGTCGGAGGTGCGACCAGCACACGTCGGGCTGTGGAAGGATGAGATGGCGCTGCCGCCGCTGACTGCTGCTGGACCGCCGACGTGCTTGAAGGGGAGATGGTTGGGCGCAACAAAAGATTTGGCGAGGACTGCAGCCGGTTGGAAGAAGACGGCGGCGAAGGCATACCGTGATTGACATTGACGGCAGGAGATGAAGCAGCAGGAACGGCCGCACCAGGACCGGGCGTGCTAGTGGAGGCGACTCCTCCCCTTGGAGACATGGTCGGGAGCAGAGTGATGGCCTTGGAATCGTACTCAATCAAGAGCGGAGAGGGGCAAAACAAGGCCATGTACAGGTGGTCCACCCGAAAATCCCCCACATTCGCATCCGTCCATGCAAAGGTCTGTGTCACCAGACCATCTCCCTGATCGAGCATTTGCTTGGGTGGCGAGAACTGCACGGATTGCAACAGTGGTCGCTGTTGTGAAGAAAGAACAGGTGGAAAGTGCAAGTAACGAGTTAGTCATCCGGCTTCTTCCAGCTCCACAACGCACCAACGATGGTGAGATTTGCGTTTTAGTCCACATACAACCACCCCCGATGAGTCTGGAACAGTCCACTTGTCCTGCAGGTGACGCATCAAGCTGCGAATCTTTTTGGTTCTTGGGACAGTGATCCTGAGGGCGCACGAATCCATGAGCACGAGCATTTTGAGGAACCTCATCAACAGTCGTCACAGAACGCAGGCATCTCTCGCTTACTGTAGAAATGGGTTAAAACCGGCGTTGGCAATCAGTTGTTGAAGAGCTGGCGACCCTGGCACAAAAGAGATTTCAATAGAGTCTTTGCAGGTCGCCGTGGGCCAAGACCTGTTTGACCGGTTTTGTACGCGGGAGCGAGAGAGGGGAGGGGAGGGGGAAAGAGAGAGGATGAGCAATAATCGACAACAACAGAGCAAACAATCAAACGGCCAAAACAAAACAAAGTGCATACCCCAGTCCAGTCGTAACGAGGCTCCACACCATCTGGATACGTTGAGTATTACTGAGCATTTCCGCAAAGTTGGGCAGCGCGAGGACTTGCTCCAGTGCAGCACGTCCTGGCTTTCGTTTGCCGGTTGAAGGCGTTGCGCCGACAGGCTGTGTGGAAGTGGACGGCGCATTCCGCCCCGACGCCTTGGATCGATTGTGAGGCGATGCTTCTTGCTGCTTTGGTGATTGTGATGGAGGCTGTTGGACCTCGGGATTCGCCGTGACGGGCTGCAGCTGAGCGTTCTGCTGCAGAATGGCACCAAGCTGTGACACCGTTCGCACATGTATCCGTGGCAGCACTTCGGTTGTGCTACTTGTTGATTGGTATTGTGGTGGTTGCTTGTTGGTCGCCACCGATGGTGATGTTCCACTTGGCAGTTTGGTGCTCGCGCGCTTGTTTGGCTGAGACATTGCTGGAGGGTTGACAACGGCAAACATCGTTGTTGCTTCTTGAGCGCTGGGTGTGAACCAATTACGAGTGGTTTTGGACTTGATTGAAATAGGGGGGGGGGGCGCGAAGAGCCTCAGGAATGATGCGACCTCGAGAGTGGGACTTGGTTGGATTTGGCGGCAAAAATGCTCAAATTTTGGCGGGAAAACTCGAGATGTTTGCACTTGAATGCCTGCGTTCTCAAGCAAACAGCAGCAGGTGAGCAGCGATTCAACCTCCAAAACACTCGATGGGCAGATCTTCACGCATCTGTCTTTTGTGATCTCGGGGGTGTGGGGCGAGGGAGAGCGGGATGTTGCGCGGCGACAACAACCACAACGGAAAAAAAAAAACCGCGCTTTTACGAAATCACGGCTTATTTTGCGTTGTTTGCCTGATCTCGATCTGGTCTAGCAAAACCCGCCTTCCCTCAAGAGCAACGCGAAGCAAACAGGCGTGTATTGGCGATGGGGACAAATGGAGGGAAAGCCTCGGCGCGGTGTGTGTGAGGATGATGACGAAATGCAAAATGCGTTAATCAAAACTTACCAAGAAACACGAGTGAGCTAGCGTCGAGTTGCAGCAACAGCCTGTCTGAACAATAGGGTTTCGTTATTGCCTCCATGCTACTGCCCTGGATTTGCAATGGGGTAATACACGGTCCAAGGTTGAGCGGACGAAATTTGCTTTTTGGGTGCCAACGTGACGGTGCCGAATTCGCAGGCATTCAATCCCCGCAGAGCGACACCTCAGGCAATCGCTTGGTTTTTCATTAATAAAGCGAATGTCGGAGTGGTCGTGAAGGTGTCCTGGGCTCGGATTGTCGCGATGAACTTGGCATTGGTGAGTCGGGGTTCCAGCTGGCAGCCAACTACACGATGAATAATCTCACCATAATCTCACCAAAACAACTCACACGAGTTTTGGTTGTCGACCCAAGCGGTTGCTGAACGTTGAAGGACCTCCAGTGCAAGAATTGTGCGACCCAGCCAAAAGGCATACAAAAAACCCCAAAAATCCGAAAAACCGAACAAACCAAATCCAGTTTCGACGTCCCTCTTTGCTCGCTCTCTTCATTTTGTACGTCTCGACAGACACTCATCGCGCAGCGTAATCCGTTGCTACACTGTGACCTCTATCGGATTCGAGGGTGGCGGGGTTGTGAGGGGCCATGGGAGAGGCTAGATTCGCGGCGGAAGAGGAGGGGTGAAGCGGGGGTTGGAGGTTTTGATTTTTGCGGCTCGCTCCCGTTCAACCACTGCTACGCACCAGGCGCTCGCCGTCTTGATCGCGGGTCAAGCCCTGTCGAACACACGCGTGTTTCTTGGGCCTTGCATTACGCGCGGGCAGACAGCAGGGCCAGCGAAATAGCGCTGGAACTGGCGCGAAAAGTTGGAGCGTGGAGCTGGATTTCACCATCGCTTTCGGCTTTTGGCGTTTCGTTTCGTTCGTCGGCTTCTTGCTCGGCTGCCGTGCGGGTGCCAGAGAGCGTGCTTGTGCCCGTCGTTCTAACACGATTGCTCTGGCAGCCCCCTGGCAGCTTTGGAAGACCACAGGCAACGATCGAGCAGACTTTCTTTTCTTTTTGTTGCTGGTTTTCCTTCTCTGCTCTTTCTTGTTGCTCTTGTTCGATTTGCGGCCTTTCCTCGAGAGCGCCTTCCATTTGCTGTGGTGCACTGGCTCTTTTTCTTCTTCTGCGGTTGCTGTGCGGCGGTGGGCTTCAGAACTCTTCGATTTTGAAACTTTCCTCATCGTGCTCTCTCTCTCTCCCCCCTCACATTTGTTGCATCATCGATCGCTCACCCTTCTTCTTGCACAACATCTTTTGTTTCCCCCCTCCTTTGCCGTAGACTTAAGCCGCCATGCCGCCGAAGCTCGACCCCAACGAAATCAAGATCGTTTTCCTCCGCTGCACTGGTGGTGAGGTCGGCGCTGCCTCCTCGCTCGCCCCCAAGGTCGGTCCCCTCGGTCTGTCCCCCAAGAAGGTCGGTGACGATATCGCCGCCGCCACCAAGGACTGGAAGGGCCTCCGCGTCACTGTCAAGCTGACCATCCAAAACCGCAAGGCCACCATCGATGTCGTGCCCTCTGCTTCCACCCTCGTCATCAAGGCCCTCAACGAGCCCCCGCGTGACAAGAAGAAGGAGAAGAACATCAAGCACAACGGCAACATTGCTTTCGACGAGGTTGTCCGAATTGCCCGCATCATGCGTCCTCGCTCGATGGCCCGCACTCTTGAGGGCACCGTCAAGGAGATTCTCGGCACTGCCCAGTCTGTCGGCTGCACCATCGACGGCAAGGCTCCCCACGACCAGATTGACGCCATCAACGCTGGCGAGCTCAAGGTCCCCGAGAAGTAAAAAAACACTCAAAAGAGGAAGTGGAAACGGGGCAACCCGGCTCTTTGTTCTTTTTTTGAAACGGTCCGCTGTTATGGCACTCTAATCATGCTTTGTTCCCCATTTTGTTCTGAGTAAAGTGTGGTTCTTGTTTTTACGAGCTCTGAGTGATACTGTATTTTGCTTTTTTTTTTTCTCTTTGTTGTTCTTCTTGCCTTCATCGTGTCTTGGCTCGTGCAATGACGAGAGTCTCGCGCCTCGACCTAGCCTGGTAGTAGTGCTGTGGCTTGTAATCGGCAGCAAAAGCTGGCCTTTGCGCGAAGTGTTTCCATTTTTCTTCCTTTTTCTTCTTCCATGGTGCAACCACTTCAACACCGTTTTTCACAAACACCCTGCTTGGCGCACCTTGGTCGTACTGATGCTTTTTGGATGTTGGATGTACGTTTTGGACGTTGGACAGTTCACTCATCCTTTTTGCCCTTGCCTTTAGCTTTTTCTGTGTTGCTTGTTTGGTTCTGAGGAATTTCGGTATGCCGCGAATACGCCTTCACAGGGCTCAAAACGACGAGCCCCACCGCGCACGCCCACTGGCTCTGTTGATTCCATCCGAGTCTGCCATGCCGCAGAGGCTGCTGGTCGGGCGGAGGAAAGGGGATGAGGGGCGGCGGGTCGGAAGTTGGATCTTGCGAACAGCTGGCTTCAACACCCCTCCAACGAAACGCGCCACTTCCTCGTCTCGCCAGGCTGTCTTACCATGGGGGAGGGAGTGATGATGTGTGACCCTTCCTGCTCTTTCGTGGCGACGGTGGTTTTGAGGCAGGGCCAAATTCCGTCGTGCTCCTCCTAGAAAACGAGTTCGTTGAGGTTATTTTTTTGTTTAGCAATCCAATTCTCATACGGACGAGTTCACGACGTTCGCCATCCCTGCTACGTTTTCCTTTGTCTTTTCAATTTTTTTAATAATGATTGATTTTTTTTTTTTTTTTTTTTTTTTTGAGTTTCAAATTGTGGTTCTTTGAGGCCCTTCGCAACCTCCTTTTCGTTGCTTACACCTCGACCACTCCATGCCACGCCACTCTGCTGGTCACGCACCTCTGCAGCTGCACACACCCTCTTGCTGCCCTTGGCTCTCCTCCTCCCCCGTCTTTCCAGCCTTCCCCACTGCAGCCTCCCCTGCTTCCAGTCCACTCTGGTGTGGGTGTGTTTTTCGTGACATTCGCAAAAGAAACCAAAAAAGCCGTTTTTTTTTTTTTTTTTTGATTTTGCTTCCATTTTTTTTTTTGATTATTTTTGATTCGTTCGGGTTCTTCTTCACTCGCTTGACTCGCTTGACTCACTTCTGCTGCTCAACATCGTCACCCAAAACACAGTTGCTTTGTCTCTTCAGCCAGCGATTCTGCAGCCAACTGTGACTTCGAAAAAGCCGGCCTTTAACCAAATTTGAGAGCTTCTGTGGTTTGCTTCTGGTCGTCAAGACATCTCGTCCAGGGCACTGCAAAGCTCAATAAGACTACTACTCACTACTACCAACTGCGAGAACAACCTAAAAAGCAAACCCCCCGCAAAAGACCAAACCAGCTCCACGAAAACCCCGTTGCAGCGCTATTGCTCTTGGTCCGACATGCCGAAATCCTTTGCAGAGCGATTGGGCCTGTTCAAGCAGGCCGCTGCTCGGGAGGAGGCTGTGGCCAACGGAGAGCCTGCCAACCTGGGAGACTCAAAGGAAGCGCCTCAGGTGGTGCCTGGCGGCGTGTACAAGTGCAAGATTGCCCATTGCGCCAACGAATACGCCTACCTTCGCGACCTCCGTCAGCACATGCGCGTCGAGCACTCGACGGACGGGGGCATCTCGTTATTCAAGAACGCCGTCACGCGATCCGACACTCCCGCGGGCATTGCAGCGGCGGCAGCAGCAGAGAGCGCCGCATCGGCCGCTGGTGGGGGCGGCGGTGAGCGCCGAAAGTCCAACACGAGCTCGCTGGCGGGTTCCGTGGTCGAGAACAGTTCGCTCCAAGGCGACTCTCGGTCGCAAAAGCGCGACGAAGATGACGATGATGACGAGGACGACACGGATGTCCCCGGCAGCCGACAGAGCATCAACTCGACCCCGTCCGACGGTGGCTCTGGCGGCTCCGTCGTGTCTAGTGGCAGTGTGCAGGAAGATGACAGTAGCGAACACAAATCCAGCAGCAGCAACAGCAGCTCGTCTGTCAGCAAGTCGGGCGGCGGTGGCGGTTTCACCCTGTCAGCAGCGTCGCTCGCCATGGCCGGCTCTGCGCCTGTTGTGACCACCACCAGCCATCTTGTTTCCGCCGCTACTGTCAGCGCCCCTGTGGGCTTCTCCTCACAGGCCTCGGTATACCGCGGCAACATTTACGACGAAGAAGAGTTTACCTATCCTTCCGAGCTGGCCAACCACAAGTTCAACATCCACTACGGCCAGGTCACCCCGGAGCCCTTCCCGGAGCCGGAAGATTTTAAGCGCAGTGTAGTGATCACGCCAGTGGAACCACCGCCAGAGTTTGCCACCCGGTTTGCGGCACGAAGCTCCATCAAGCGACCAGACTCGCCCACCGTCTCCCAACGGATACAGCAGCGCTTGCAACGAACAGCGTCGCCTTCGCCAGTGGCGTCGCCGTCCACTCCAAACCTCGATTCCTTGCCGTCCACCACCTCCACGGCTCGGGTCATTCCTGCACCCTCGGCCAAGATCCGCCAGGTCAACGTGAACGACCCAGAGTACGCCGAAATCGTCTCTGGCGACACAACCATCACCACCGCCGTCCTGTCATCGTCGCCCGGCGCCAATGCGGGAGGGTCGATGCTCTCGTCCGTGATGATGGAAAACCAGTACGGCTACGGCACGCGATTGTCCATGCATTTCATGGGCAGCCGCGACCGTCTCGATCACACAGACGACGAAGACGACATCTTTGACGATCCGGACAACCCCACCAGCGACAGTCTGCTCCAATACTTTGCCTCTGCAGGCTTTGCTGCGCGCGCCAACCCGACTCGCCGGCCAACAATGCCAGTCGCGGTGGATACTCCCAGCACCGCCGGAGACGAGGTTGACAGCCAGAAACCCGACTTTCTCGCGCCTCCGTCGCAAGAGTCGACACGCCAGCGCTTTGTTCGCTTCAACCCCCAAGTCACCCAAGGAGACACGCACCTCAAGAAGCGCTACAAGCGATCTTATCCGTCTCGCGAGCCGACCCAAAAGCAGCTGGAAAAGATGGAGGCCGAAGTTCGTGCACTGAACGTCGAGCTTGGTGTGGCGCCAGCAGAGTACTAAGAAAAGGATGGCGAAGATTGTCGCACACACAACGCCCTGCAGTTTGGCGCGCTCTGCGTTTCGACAATGTTCGACCAACGTATTTGTGCGGCTGCTTTTCCCATCCCTCCGTTGTGAAAAAAGTTCCAGATATTCAGAAATCAGGCAACACGCGCAACCAACACGTTTCTGGTTGTTGGTGGTTTCCTGCCGTTTTCTTTGCTTTTTTTTTTTTGTGTGTGTGTGTTCGGTCTTTGTTATTAATGCCTTGTTTTTCTCTCTCTAAATGTGTATGTATGTGTGTGTCTCTGTGGTGTGTGTTTTGTGCGCTGGATGCGTCGTATGCGCCCCTATTTTCCGTCTTCTACCCTCGTTTGTGCCTGTCGGTTTTCACTTCACGAGACGCCAACGCACGCTTTTCTTTTTTTTAATTTTTTTGCTGCTTTGCTGCTTTGCTGCTCGTCCGCGCGCTCTCAATCAGAGTACTTGTAGAATTATAAACGATTTCTTCAGTTTCCAACAGCCCACACTCAACAAAAACACTTTACGTTTGCATGGGCTCATCGCCTGGAGAATGATAGCCAAACACGATACGGTTACCCAGAGAGGATTGAGCGGCGCATTTCGGAGAGCACCAGCGGTGCAACACTGGCACTTGTTCCCCCAAGTCTTGATGAAGCACACTGTTCTCCGCAACGTTCCGCATCGAGAGAATTTGGACGCCAAAGTTGTAGCTTCGCAGAAAAATGTCCTTGCACTCGCTGCACCAGTTCGCTCCGGCCAGCTCTTCAATGATCGAGAGTGGTAGTACTTGGGTAAGCTCGGACACGGACATGAGCTTGCTGGCGGACTTGTGTGGTGGTGCGGGAGCGGCTTTAGCGCGGGAGATGACGTTGAACGCCGAGGTCGTGGCGCGCCGCCGACGCTCTTCCTGCTGTTGCTCAGCCAAGAGGGTCTTTTCGCGTGGATTGCGGCCCGTCTTTACTTGCCGCCACGTGGCCCGAGCAGCCAGCTCATAGAGCGACGGGAATTCAAAGGAGGTGGATTTGATCTCGTCGTCTAGCACAAACGGATTGCCGGACGTGTCAAAATCTTGCAGTCTCAGCCGAAGGATTTCGTGCGGAATGTGACAGAGTTGGTTGAAGGCAATGTGCAGGCCGCGGAGCGCTGGTAGGCGATCAATATCCGCAGGCAAGGATGTGAGCTTGTTGTTGTTCAGATCGAGCCGGACGAGCGAAGGCAGCGCCCAGCACAAGCGCGCTGGAATACGGCGAATCTGGTTGTTGGAAACTGTCAGTGATGACAGTCGATCAAACTTGGAGAGCAGCAGCGGGAGCTCGCTCAGCTGGTTGTGCTGCAGATTGAGCACAGCGAGGGTTGGCGCCAATTGAACAAACGCCGCAGGCAGCTCACGCAGCATATTTGCGCTCAAGTCGAGAGATGTCAGCTGCTTGAGTTCCAGAAGGGTAGAAGGGATGGCCTTGAGCTGCAGTCCTGCTGCCTTTATCACGGTGGACTCTGCGTTGATCGTTTGATCCAGGGTTGCCAGATTTTGCGCCTTCAGCGTTGTTTTTCGGGTTGATGGGGTGATGAATGGATTGTAGGCAGCAGAGGCCAAGACCGGCCACTTGCGTGTGCTGGTGGTGGTGGTTGTTTGCTCGTTCGTCTCCACAGCGTCAGAAGTCGCAATCGATGCAGCAGGCTGATTGGGACCATGGGCAGGGGCGCGTGTACTGTTACTCGCAGAGTCGCTATCCACAGAGGAAGAAGATGATGACGAAGATGAAGAAGAAGCCGAAGAAGAGGGATGAGCCGTCTCATCAGGTGCGGTCGTGCCGCGTGAGTCGGACGGTGTGTAGAGTGTGACGCCTTGCAAGTTGCTTCGTTTAGGAGCGACCGATTTCGAGGTAAGATGCTTGGTCAACACTCCAGGAATATCACGACGCACGTCATGCAGCGGTGCTTGCATGGTGGGACGACGAAGCGCAGCCTGTGTCGGATCCGGCGCAGAGGCAGAAGCAGCAGCGGGTGCAGCCGTGCTGGGCGGCAAGGACGGTCGAGCTCGTGCCATCACTTGATCGAGCGCCACAGCATCGGTTCGAACATCGTCGTCTGACAGCTCATGTGCTGGCGTCGTGAACGCTCGATGCAGGCGTCCGAGAAACTGGTCTAATCGTTTTGGGTTGGCCTACAAAAACAATCATCCGAAGGGAATGGAAGGGTTTGTAAGGATCTCGGACGAATGGCACAAGCCCTTTGTGGCCTGCATTCTGTATGTTGGCGAGAGTCCGGTCTGAACTTTCGGAGCACTCTCTACACCAAAACACGACGACCTACCTTTGAAATGAATAATCGGAAATGCGGCTGTTGCAGTTCAATAGTTGCACGGCCTTCGCCAACAAACTTTGTAAATACGCTTCGAACATTTTTGTAAATCTGCCCACACACGACGGTTTGATGTCGCAAGGTTAGTGGTCTCAAAAACGCGACAACAACACGTTGGTCGCCAAGTAAGTTTTTTGGCGGGAAACACTGTTCGTTCACTTGCCGGATAGAACACGCCTGATTTGATCTTTGCGTTGAACACGACAAGACACACGCCATCCCGGAGCGACAATGAAATATGAGTGCCATTCTCAGCGGCTTTGGACGCAGGCGCAAGCGCAGGCGCGAGGGCGAGCGAGGCAAACTCTGCCGGCTCTGCGGGTGAAACAGCAAGACTGGTGGATTCGGCGGCCGACGCGGCGGCAGGAGCGCCGTCGTCCGCGGTCTCGCTCGTTGTACCAGCACTACTGGTCGGAGTGCTCTCTGCTGGTTGGGTCGGTGCTGCACCTGGCTGAGGTGGCTCGGACTCGGTGCTGTTGTTGTTGTTTGCGTTTGCGTTAGCGTTTGAGTTGCTCGCGGGCTGCTTTCGCAACGCCGACACGGGGAGCTGGACCACTGGATTGCCGTCAGACCCCGGTTTGGCGAGCACCATGACCACATGCGACCCTTTGGCAGGCCGGCCGGTGGGAAGCAGCGCGTCAATCACCAGCTGCGTCTCGAGATAGCACTCAAACCCGAGCAAGCTGGCTGACATTTTGGCGGCAAATTGTTATGAAACGAGTGAGCAGCTCCGATTTGCTTGGAACTGACATTGTGGAAAAGGACAATTGTGTGATTGGATGAAACAACAAAAACAGCAACAAAGAAAGAGAAACAAGAGACAGTTTCACACAAACTGGCAATGGGGGCCCCCGACGAAAGAGTAAACGACAAAAAAATACAGCAACGAAGAAATGTCAACAACACAATCACTCAGACACAAACCATGTCAGCAGAGAAAGGGAAAAATAAAAGAGCACCAACCTCCTAAAGTCCATGACAGAGGAAGAAAATATAACGAGTGGCTACCCTCGCATCCTGTGAGGCGCGAGAGCTGAAGGAAAAAAGGCAATGCTAGAAGGAAAAAAAAAATCGGAAACACAATCAGACGTAAATCTTGACGCTTGCATCAGCCCCAGAGCTGGCGACGAATGGAAGGGTTGGGTGGAAGAGCACATGGTGCACAGCTTCGTCAAACTTCTTGCGATGTGATGCAATCTCTTGCAGACACGACTTTTTGGCAATGTCCCAGAGACGGAGAGAAGAATCATGACCTGCACAAGGATTGTTGTGTTTCAAAAGGAATCGCGTGAATGTGAGAGATCTCATTTCCAATGCACTGCAAAAAGAGAAAAAAAAACCCCGCAAGCATCCAGCACTGAGATTTACCGCCAGACAGCAAGAAAAGTCCACTATGATCGATCGCAACAGTCGAAACCGAGTCGAGATGTGCAACCATTGAATGAGTACATTGGCCTGTCAAAATTTCAGAAGAACGAGTGAGCGCGATGTGCAGCCTTTGACGACATTTCAACCCGACAAAATGCTTCGACAAAAACACAACAAAACAAACATACCGCCAGTAGCGTCAAAGAATTGAATAGTCTTGTCGTCGTTGGCAGTGATGAGAAGAGGCAGCGTAGGGTGGCTGACCACTTGGTTGATAAAGGAAGGCGATTCGCCTCGCTCAAAGTCAAGCACCTTGTTGCCAGTCGTGTTGTCGTAAGCGACCAGTTTGCCAGAGGCAAACGAAATCGCAAAGCTGGAGAGGGTGGAGTGAATGAACGCAACAGACGTGGGAACGTCGCCCAGCACAATCTTGCGAGCAAGCGGGTTGGCGACGTTCTTAAAGTGCCACAGAATGCACGTCTTGTCGGCAGAGATGGAGGCCAAAATGTCGTGCACGGGATGGACAGACAGCGACCAAACGGCGTCCGTGTGGCCCTTGAACGTATCAATGCTCATGAGCGGGTCAAAGTTGGCGTAGGCAGGCTGCGACAGCGGGTAGAGTCGCCAAACGCGCACGGTGGCATCCAGGCTGCCAGTGAAGAAGATTCCGTCCTTGATCGAGGTGGCAATGCTGGTGACGGCATCGGTGTGGCCTCGGTAAGTGTAGATGGGGTCGAGGTCTGGCGAGTGGGTGGATTTCTTGCTGCCAGAGGGCATGTTCTTAAAGTTCCAGAGCTTGATGGTGCCGTCGTCCGACGCTGACAGGACAGCCGGCTCAGTGTCGTGGAAGGCAATCGAGCGCACAGAGTCAAAGTGCCCGCGGAAGGTGTACTTTGGCTTCCATTGGTGGTGGGAGCCAGACTCGGTGTCAAATCGCTGCTGGTCTCCCTGCTCAGAGTCACCAGCAACCGACAGATCGGCCAACTCTCCGAGGACATCGGCCTCGGTCACAGAGTTGCCACCGCGGTTGGTGTCGTTGTCGTCCGAGGAGCCAAACATGTCCATAATGCTCGATTTGCTCGGGGACTTGGTGGAAGACTTGCCGTGCGAGGCCTTGCGGCTGGTCGGCTTGGTCTTGTCCCAGTGCTTCATGACCTTGGCCAGTTGGTTGGAGTCGTACTTGGTTTCGTTTCCCTCCGGCTCCTCCTCGGACGAGGCGAGCGCAGCAGCGGCAGCCGCCATGGCCGCCTTCGAGACGCCACCAGCACGAGCTTTCGAGCCCTTGCGCGGCATAAAGCTTTGCAAATCAGCCTCGGGCGCGCTGGCAGACGGAGATGATACGACCACCGTCGCCGAGACTGGCGATTTGGCAGGGGACACGGGCGCTTCCGTCGTCGTCGTCGTCGTCGTCGTCGTCGTCGTCGAGCTCTCGCCGGCCTCAATGGCGTCGTCCAGGGAGGCAAACACGTCGTCCACGGCCGATGCCGATGCCGATGCCGATGCTGCGGGGGCTGCGGCCGAGCCGCTCGAGGCAGCGGAGGCTGCTGGAGCTGCTGTGCTGTCGGCACCGGCAGTCTCGTCCTCCGACAAAAAGTCAAAGTCAGCCAAAACCTCGTCCTCTGTGGCGACGGTGGCCTTCTTGCCAACCGTCTCGACGACAATCGGAACCGGCGCTGGGATGGCACCAGCCGAATGTGTTTCCTGACCAGCACTGGCAGCAGCAGCGGCAGCAGCAGGGGCAGCAGCCGGAAGCGCCTTGCGGCTGTTGTGCACCAGAGTCGAGCTCGACAACCGTTTTTTGCGTCTGGAGGGTCTTTCCAGTCGGGCTAGTGCTGTCGTGGCGCAAGAGAAGGCGCATTTGTGGACGGATGGCAGCGTCGCCTTCAGCATCAAACAGTGCTGACGATTCGACCGCTTCAGCCACTGCCTCAGCCTCTGCCTGGATCATCGAGTCCGTCAGACCCATCTCTTGCATGTAGCGACGCAAAATATGGCGGGACTTTTTGGTGGCCGCACGTGTCGACGCGAACGCGGCTGGTCGCAGCTTGGATTCGAGCTTGGCCGCTGCTGTCGACGCCGGTGGCTCGTCATCGGCGAGATTAGGTGGGGGGATGGCCGAGCCGTTGACTTTGCCAGACTTGCCCTCAGACGATGCCAGCAGCGCGAGGTACTTGGCACGCTCCTGCTTGAGCGCATACTCGAGCATTTTAATTCGGCGAACGAGATCCCGCTTGAGGTTGTTTTGTCCACGCCGTTCGCCCTCCAAAAAGCCGATATAGGCCTTCAACTCGGCGCGTTCGCCTTCCCATGATGCCCGATCCCGCTCAAAGCTGCAGCACGGCGAAGGAGGCGTGAGAGAACGAATCAGTGACGAGGAAGCGAAGGTGGAGGCAAAGGCAATGCTGCCCACCACACCACCACACACACTACTACTACTACCACCACCACCAACCATACACATACCTTGACCAGTTCTTTTGGAGAAAATTGAGAATCCCTCGGATGTTGTATCCGTTCATCTGATTCGAAGTGTCGACAGCGGCCGACCAAGCCGCCGAGGCCTCGCCTTCCTGCTGCATTCGTTAAATCGCACTGCGAAACGATTTGACGAGCGAGATCCGAAAAAGAAAAAGCGCGCGCGTTCAGGATGTTGTTGTTGTCTGGGGACTGGCGACAAACAGAAACTCTCAGATCCGGCTCCCGATTTGTTTGTGCTTGTTTTGATTGTTTCGTGAGCTGCGACTTGTATCGATTCGAACCTCAGAGAATCTCGAGAACACAAATCAACGCAAATCTAAAACTGTTCAAGTGCACACAATCAATGCAGGCAACCACAGATAAAGTCAGCATAGAAACAAAATCAGCAGCAGGAAAAAAAAAAAAAAATCTGAAAATTGAAAAAAAAATCGAACTCAAAAAAATTCAAAATTAAAAAAAAAAAAAAAAAGCCTGATGTTGGATGTCGAACAGGCAGGCTGCGCGGATCTCCAAGTTGCTAGAGAATAGTTCATGGAGTGATGCAGAGGAGGTCAAGCTCGATCGCCAACAAAGCCCAAGCAGAGCATGCGAAGGAAAAAGTCAAGTCCACAAAAAAAAAAAAAAAAAAAGCAACCAAAAAGGCGAGATCCCGCCTCTGTTGTTGCTGTGGGTCTGTCCGACGCTTCCCTCACAGACGACCAATCGGACCACAGGACGAGGCTCTCTCCCAACGGGGTGGAGGCAGGCTGGGGAGCGGGTCGGCGATGGACAAAGCCCCCGAAAGCCAATCCAGCGAGAATCGATACAATCTCAATCGAAAATTCAAAACGGTTGTTCAAAGGAAAAAAAAAAAAAAAAAAAACCGAGTTGCGTCGTTGGTAGCGACGAGGCAGTCCGCAACGAGGTCTGAAGGGACGGTCGAGGTGGAGAGCACGACGATGGATGACTGGCGCAACACATGCACTGCGGACTGCCTGGGTGGGTGGGGGCGAGTACGGACGAGCGAAAGAACCACAAACAAAAGAAAAAAAAAAGAAAAAAGAGAAAGCGTTGTTCATGAATGAGGATGGCGACAACAGGCGAAGGGGGAGCTCAACCCAAGCGAGTCGTGCAGATGAGATTGGCGGCAGACGTGCAGACTTGGACGACGGCTTCCGTCCAATCACCACGGTTGGCAGCCAACCATCGGAGACTTGCAGTTGACGACACACTTTCGCTCGCAACTGCTTCTCGCGATGCATTGCTTTCATCCATCCCATCCAGTCAAGCAACCCCTCGTCCTCCTCCTCCTCCTCCTCCTCGGCACACACACACACACACACACAATAGACGATGGCGCGACAGGCTAGAGCGACGCAACTCCAACGGAAGCCCATGTCAAACGAGAAACTGAAAGGGAAAAAAAAAAAAGCACACAAAAAACACAAGAAAAACCGTTCAAAGAAGCGACGTACAAACAGGAAGCACAAAAAGCAAAAGTGAGCTTTGACTTTGGGTGCCTGTTGTCGTTCGTCACTGAAAAGCACCCTACGAAAAACAGACAACAGAAAAAATAACGAGGCAAATTGAGAGTGGGAAGGGTTGGATGATTCAGAGCAAACGAACGGGTTGGAGTTGCCGCAAAATCTTCAATACAAACTGCACTTGCTTCGTTTGTCTCTTTTCCGTTTCTATCTCAGTCGCCTTTTTGTTTTTACAAAGACCACGTCAATCACAACATCAAACATGGTAACGTTGTCTGCTTGTTGTTTCCGATTCAACAGAGCGCAAACTTTTGCTCCTTTGGACTCACAACCGCCCGCTTCCGTGATCTCGATTGCCATTGTGAAATTTGGCAACACACAGGACCCGATGCTCCTTACCCCGCTCCAGCAGTACGATCCCGAGATCTTCGACCTCATCGAGAAGGAGAAGCACCGCCAGTGGCGCGGCCTCGAGCTCATCGCCTCCGAGGTTGGTCCATCAATGCGAATGTGTGCAAATTTGTCGCCGTGACTCTGGTTGTTTTCTCTCTCTCGCTTTCTCGCTCTCTCTTCTTGCACTCGCTGCATGCACCCTCGATGAGAGACAGCGATGGAGAGGGTGAGGAAAGGGGGTAACCACAAGATGTGGTCCTGTGTGTACGCCATGAGGGCCACGAGCACCTTTTCCCTTTGTGCCGGTTTTTGCGCTCGCTCGCCAATGCCAGCAAGCGGAGGCGTCTGTCGCTGCCCTGTGTTGTGTGCTGCTGTTGCTGTTCTGCGATCCCTGCGCTTCAGCTTCAGCTCGAAACATGCCGCACCAAGCAAGCGCAGTCTCGTGAACGCGGGGTGAAACTGGCTATTTTCGCCATGTTCAATGGGTCCACAGCACCAAACCGTTCCTTTTTTTTTTTTTTTTTTTTTTTTTTTCCTTTTCCTTCGAGCTTTCGTTTGCCCTTCTTTTCTCTTGGCTTTTGGCATTGTCATGATGCAACGACCAACGCCGAACAATCTCAAAAACCCAGGTCGAGGATGGAAAAAGCACACCATTTTGGCCTTTTCGGTTTTCGGTCGTAACGTGCATTCAGCCAATCCTCACACTGACACGCGTCTCTCGCCTCTCGCTCTCGGAATCCCGTGTTTTTTTTTTTCTTTTGCTGATCGCTTTGTTTTTTGTTGTTGCTGCTGCGTTGACAGAACTTTACCTCGCAGGCCGTCATGGAGGCCAACGCGTCGTGCCTCACCAACAAGTACTCTGAGGGTATGTGGTTTGTGTACATTGCGGCTTGGGTGTGATGTCTTGTATTGTTTTGTTTTTCCCGTTTTTGTCGTGGCAAGCCAAAAAAACCACATGGACTTGGATTCTCACGTTTTGTTGATCATGTTGACAGGTCTGCCCCACCACCGCTACTATGGCGGCAACGATGTTGTCGACCAGGTCGAGGAGATTTGCCAAAAGCGCGCTCTGGCCGCCTTCCGCCTCGATCCCGCCGTCTGGGGTGTCAACGTCCAGCCTTACTCTGGCAGCACTGCTAACTTTGCCGCTCTGACTGCTCTTCTCAAGCCCCACGATCGCCTGATGGGTCTCGATCTCCCCTCCGGTGGCCAGTACGTTGCTTGTTTTTTGTTTCCCATTTGCTGCAAATTACCTTTTGTTTCTTTTGTTTCAACGACTCTGACTGTGCATGCTTTGTTCTCGTTTCTTTGTTTACCTGCTGCGCAGTCTCACCCACGGCTACCAGACCGCCAAGAAGAAGGTTTCGGCCTCTGCCATCTACTTTGAGTCGATGCCGTACCAACTCGATCCCGTATGTGTACTCAAAGGCTACAATCTTGTTGTTTTGGTGGCTTTCTCTTTGATCCGAGTTTCTTTGGTTGCTCACTTTCAATGTTTTCCAACCTGCCTCGCTTGACTTGAACACAGGCCACGAGCTTGATCGATTACAACCGCCTGGAAGACCACGCCAAGCTGTTCCGCCCCAACCTCCTCATCTGCGGTGGCTCGGCCTACCCTCGCGACTGGGAGTACGCTCGCCTGCGCTCGATCGCCGACCAGCACGGCGCCTATGTCATGTGCGACATGGCACACATCTCTGGCCTCGTTGCCGCCCAGGAGATGAAGGATCCCTTCGAGTTTTGCGACGTCGTCACCACCACCACCCACAAGACTCTGCGCGGCCCCCGCGCTGGTCTCATCTTCTTCCGCAAGTCGCCCCCGCCGCAGGCCAACGGCAGCCCTGCCGCCACCCCCGCCCAGCCCTACGACCTCGAGGCTCGCGTCAACGCCGCCGTCTTCCCTGCCTGCCAGGGTGGCCCGCACAACAACACTATTGCTGCCATCGCCGTTGCGCTCAAGCAGGCCGCCACGCCCGAGTTCCGCACCTACGCCGTCAACGTCCGCAAGAACGCCGCCAAGCTCGCCGACACCCTCAAGGAGCTCGGCTACAAGATTGTCACGGACGGCACCTGCAACCACACCGTCCTCTGGGACTTGCGCCCCAACGGCCTCACTGGCAGCAAGATTGAGAAGCTCTGCGACTACCTCGACATTACCCTGAACAAGAACTCGGTCCAGGGCGACACGTCGGCCCTCTCCCCCGGCGGTGTTCGTCTCGGCTCGTCCGCCCTCACCTCGCGCGGCTTCCTCGAGGCTGATTTCGTCAAGGTCGGCCACTTTTTGGATCGCGCCGTCAAGATTGCCCTCAAGCTCCAAGACAAGGTCGGCAAGAAGCTGGTCGATTTCGAGGCCGAGCTCGCCAAGAAGGACAATGCTGAAATTACTCAACTCCGCCACGAGGTCGAGGCCTTTGCCAAGTCCTTCCCCATGCCCGGCTTTGAGACCAGCACCATGGTGTACAAGCATTAATGGATGGTCTGATGGTCTGGAGAGTGCGTGTTTTTGAGCTTTTTTTGGTGTTGTTCTTTTTGATGCGAAAATCCAATAAATACAGTTATGAAAAAGTGAGAGGCTTGAGCCAAAACAAAAACTGTTGTGGTATGATCATTGCGCTTGACGTGGTAACTTGGTGTCAGACCCAGACCAGACTTGTGTGATGTGTGGTTCAGTACTTTGATTCATTTCCTCGCCTCAGATCCAATTTTCTTTCTTTCAATGCGCTCGTCCAAATTTGCCCTTTGTTTATTCCTTCTTGAATTATCCAAATCTCAGACCAGTCGTTGTTTGTGTGTGACATTGAGGATTCTGTCGGTGTGAAGGATGACTTCGCAGACACAAATCGAGCTGGGTCTGGCGCTCAGCTTCTTTGACCGCGCCTGGCTGCAGGTGCGTTTCAATTCTGGCCATAGAGTCCCCCTTAGAAAACAGCCATTCACTGACCTTGTGAGCCACATACAACAGACGTGGCCGCTGAACGAGCAGACCGTGCTTGAATACTTTTCCAACTCGCCCTTCTACGACCGCACCTGCAACAACCAAGTCATCAAGATGCAACAGCAGGATGCGTCGCATCTCTTGTAAGATTGTGCTGGGAGTGCGCGAGGGATGGGCGGGGTTAGGGTGAGGGGACTGGCACGGTCGTCTTCGCTGCATGGGTGTCATAGAGTTGTAGTCGGCTCGAATCACTGAAATGCTCATGGTTTTTCGCTGTTTCAGAAACATGGTTGGGCTCGAGTACGAGCTCATCCACAAACACGAGCCGGAACTGTTTGTCATCCAGCTGCAGCAGCGAAACAGCCCCACGTCAGTCGATCGCGTGGCCAACTTTTACATTATTAATGGTGTTGTTTATCAAGCTCCAGATCTATACCATGTGGTGAACATGCGATTGGTCAGTGGATTGTTAGGTTTTTGTTTTGCTTTTCCATTTTGTGGTGTTTTTGTTTTTTGTGAAATGCTGCTGCTGTCTTGGACACTGACGGTTGCTGTGTTGCGTTTTGCTGTTTAGGGATCGTATCTGCACAATCTTACTCATGCGTTCAAGGAAGCCGCCAAGTTTGTCAACTTTGCGCCTGCGGTTGGGCACACTTGGAACTTTGCAACCGTCAAAGGTACCCGCCCGCATTTTCGTTCGCAAGATGCCCTTTTTTGTTGTTGCCGTCCCCGTGTTCATGTCATCTTTTCGTCCTTTGTTGTGCCCCACAGATCCAAACGGGGAAAGCACCGCTCCGTCGGTTGTTTCGACGCCGGCACCTGCACCCGCCCCTGCATCAACATCCTCCACAGAGACAGACAAGAAGCCGAATGCGGGCTACCAACAGCCACGCGCTACACGACAGCAGCTGATCAACCACAGAGCGCAGTACAACCAGGTCGACGAGCTCTTGCGCGACTTGATTGCGAAATATCCGCCACCCACAGAGGCCGAGCTGGAGGCTGCTTCTGCGGGTCAGGATGGCAGTGCACCCGTTGAAGCGGCAGCTGCAGCTGCAGCTCCAACAACAGCAGACACGCAGTCATCACCCCAGACCGCAGCAGGAGCGACCGCCGCAAAATCTGCATCCACCACCGCTTCTACCCCCTCCACCAGCACTAAATTGAAGCTGAGTAGCAAAGACGCGACGGTTGGATCAGCTGGTGCTACCAGGAAGCCAGCGACTGCCGCTCTGAGCGACGCTGATGCCAAGCAAGTCAAACGTCCAGCAACTGCTGCCCCAGCTGTGGATAAGAAGGTCAAAAAGCCCAGGATACAGACTTGATTTGATTCCAGAGGATGGAGTATCTTTGATATAAAATGCAGATTATTATGTTCTTGTCGCACTGTTCCCGATGTTAGAAGGTGAGAGATTTGTGTACCAAAGATGACGAGATCTTTTGTTTGTACGCATTCTCTCGCTTCGGCTCAGTCAGCTGCCCCGCATCCATATTCACGTCACAATGATGTTTTTGTCTCTCCTCTGAGAGTTGAGCTGTCTGTTTGTTTTTGGCAAACCCCTGCAGTCCTGTTCCTTTGACTTTTTCAGTTCTTTGCCAGGTAAGGATTTTGACACATTTTTTATTATTATTGAAAACATTGTGCAAATTTTTTATTGTTTAAGGATCTTTGTTGCGCTGGTTGTTTCGCTTTGGGTTTCGATTGTGATCGCGTCCCGTTTGACCACAACACGACACGCGGCACGTCCAAGTGCACGTCGGTCTCCTGACTCAACCACCACCAACGCCATGAACATTGAACAAAAGAAAGAGAAGAAGAAGAAGAAGAAGAAGAAGAAAAAAAAAAAAAAAAAACGAATGGTTCTGCGATTTGGCTTCTTCTCACACTGATCCGCAAGTCAACGACTGCTGCAGCACGTCTTCCTTTTGTGCGCAACCCCGCTCCTTGTTCCCCCAGCTCGAATCCACACTCCGTTGTCCCGTTTTTGCTTGTCTGCTCGGCAGGAGTCCGCGATTTGCTCAAACCGAGTCCAACCAGACTCTTGCATTTCTCTGATGCTCAACCCAAAAAAAAAAAAAAAAAAAAATAACAAGTCAACAACTCGAAATGGAAGTTGAACAAGTGGTGCTTTTTTTTCTTTGGAGATTGGATCTCGATTGCGCTGCCCATTTGGTGCCAATACGACGAACCCCCCCTGGACTTTGCCTGGACTTTGTGCCCGTCGTGTGGAGTGAGTTGGCACCAAGGTTTTCCCCCAATGACGACGCTCAACCGTGCGATTTTGCTTCACCATTCCTTCAAAAATTCTCGTCTCTATGGTTTTTTTTTTTTTTTGGTTTTTGTGATTCTGTTGTTTCGACGTTGATCGGCTCGTCTGTCCGTTGCATTGCGCGCTCCTTCTGCGTCGTACAACAGACAGTGTCGACTTTTGTAACGAAACACGGAACAACGAGATCGCATTGAAAAAAAAAAAACCAGCAGAACCACAAAAAACTTGACCATAAAAATTCGAACCGCAAGAAAAAAAAAAAAACCAAAGAAAGAAGGTTTTGAAAATTCTTTGCTTGTTGTTCGTCTTTTCTTTCGTTTTCAAGTGCTGCTGTTTTGTGATTGCATCCGAGTTTATTACATTCAAAGCTTGGATTTGGCAAAGTCGAAAAAAAAGTGCAGAAACGGGGACGAAAAAACAAAAAAGAAGAGAAATTGCGAAGAAATTTTTACATTGGAATTGCTCACTTTTGGTGCGTTTGCTCTCCACAGTCAGAGACCCCTCAACAACCCTCAACCACCCTCCCCTTCGATCAGAATCATCAACATGGCGGACAAGGCAATCCTCGAAGCGCTCGAGAAGAAGGTGTACGACGCCGAGTCGTACGAAGATCGCTCTGCTGCGCGCGCCGCTTTGAAGGAGTACAAGGCGACCGGCAAGCTGCCAGAAGGCTACGGTGCTGCTGCTGCTGCTGCCGCGCCTGTTCCTGTTGCTGAAGAAGCCCCTGCGCCCAAGAAGCGTGAAGAAGAGCCCAAGAAGCGTGAAGAAGAGCCCAAGAAACGCGAGGAAGAGCCCAAGAAACGCGAGGAAGAGCCCAAGAAGCACGTTGAAGAGCCCAAGAAACGCGAAGAAGAGCCTGCCAGTGACGACAACACACCCAAGGCGCTCAAGGTCAAGACGCGCGATGCATCATCCGTCTTCACCCAACAATCCACCAGCAGCAAGACTGCCCCGAAGGGCGCAGACCGACCCGTCAGCGTTGGCAAGTTGAGCTCGCCATGGCTGGCCGGCAAGGCTGAGGAGAAGCCTGCTGCCAAGCCCGAGCGCGAAGTCAAGACTTCCAAGGCCGCCAAGCAGGAGGAAGAGCCGACTGCTGCTGCCAAGGAGGAAGAAAAGCAGGCCGAGCCGCCAAAGAGGGCGTCCAAGGCTGAGCCCGAGGAAGAGGTGGTGTCTGTGCCCAAGCGGAAGGTCGTGGAGGAAGTCAAGCACGAAGAGGTCGTGTCTGTGCCCAAGCGAAAGGCCGTCGAGGAAGTCAAGAAGGAAGAGCCTGCTCCCAAGGCGGCGGAGCCCGAGCCTGCGGCTGAAGCAGAGGACGGCGATCTCGCGGCCACCGAGGCGCGCATTGCCGCGCTGGAAGACGTGCTTGCCAAGTCGGACTCGTACGAGGAGCGATCGGCGGCGCGTGTCGAGCTGCGTGCGCTCCGCAAGCGCGTCGAGGAGGCCAAGGCAGCCGCTGCCAAGCCCACCGGCAGCACACGAAAGACCACCGCTGCTCCCAGCAGCACTACCGCATCGCCTGCTGCATCCAAAGTCAAGTCCACCGCGTCCACAACTTCCTCGTCCCCTGCCGCAGCCTTGGCACGCCGTCCGTCGGAGGTCGAGGACATTCCCCCGCCCAGCCCCTCCAAGACTGACAGCGGCCGCTCGCGACCCAGCTCCATGTTTGTCTCGCCTGCCAAGTCGTCCGTCTCGACGGGCTCTGGCACCTTTGAGCGCCCCAAGCTTCGCGCTGGCAAATCCACTGAAAACTTGAGCGACTCACCGGCCGCTCCTGCCGCCACCCCTGCTGGCGCCTTCGAGCGACCCCAGCTTCGCAAGTCCACTGAAAACCTCAGCGACACCCCTGCGAAAGAGACTGCCAAGGCTGAGCCTGCCTTTGGTCAGTTTGCCCTCCGCAAGTCCGCAGCAGCAGCACCAACCGCCAAGGAGGCTTCGTCGGAGAGCAGCACCCCCGCATTCGGCTCCGTGTCGTTGAAGTCGCGCTCGAGCGTGATTGCTCCCAGCAGCAGCAGCAGCACGTCCTCTTCTGGCTCGGCCTTGTATGACACTGCCAAGCTCCGCCGCACCGAGTCCAAGAGCGAGAAGGTCGACGCCGTGGTGGAGGAGCCCGAGTCGCCCAAGCTTCGCAAGACCGAGTCGCGTTCGACCACATCGTCGCCCGCCACCTCGGTTGCCCCTTCGCCAGCAACCTCCATCAACTCGTCGAGCGGTGCCATTTCCTTTGGCAAGACCACCAACGACGACCACAAGAAGGGCAACCTCGAGTACATTAACAAGTACCTGGCTCGCGACGGTGCTGCTCGCAAGCACCTGCCCATCACTGCCGGCAAATCGTTCCAGACTGCCTTTGCTGATGGCACGCTGCTGTGCCGCATTGTCAACCAGGCCGTCCCCGACACGGTCGACACTCGTGCCATCAACACGTCCACCGCGGACGACAAGATTGCCGAGAACTTTACCCTTGCGTACAACTCTGCCAAGGGCGTCGGCTGCTCCCTCTCCAAGACCTCCCCCGAGGAGCTCCAGAAGGGCAGCGAGGCCGCCATCGACCTGTTCATTGGACAGCTCGTCAAGGTCGGCGCCATGCGTCGCGTCAAGATTGAGTATGTCGACGAGAGCAAGGGCATGCGCAAGCGCTGCGTGGCGTGCGACGAAAAGCCCCGCTCCCAATACGGCAGCAAGGGTGACTTTGTCTTTTGCGGCGATTGCTTGGCTCTTCCGAACGTGCAGCTGGCCATTCACGGCATTGCCGTTGGCGCCACCGTGCTCGGCGCGCTTGGCCCGCTGTTTGGCGCCACTGGCCCTTCTGCCACCTCCGGCCCGGCCACCATCGGCACGGCTGTCCGCTCCGACTCTGCCTCCGTGCAGCAGGCTGGCGCAGAGAACAAGCGTGCGTCCACCCTCAAGGTGGAAGATGGCGCAGAGAACAAGCGCTCGTCCATCATCAAGCAAGATGAGAACAAGCGCTCGTCCATTATCAAGCAAGACGAGACTCCCGCGCCTTCGTCGCCTGTCGCCACCAGCAAGCGTTCCTCCGTGCTCAAGCAGGAGGAGTCGAGCTCGCCCGTCTCGAGCAAGCGCAGCAGCTTGGTGAAGGAGGAGTCAACGGAGGCACCTGCGTCACCCAAGCTCGCTTCCGAGCCTTCCAAGTTCTCGTCTGCAACAAAGGCGGCCGAGCCCAAGGCCGAGCCCAAGGCCGAGCCCAAGGTGTTTGCACCCAAGGTGGTCGAGAAGCTTCCCGAGCCAAAGAAGGAAACGGTCGCCCCTGCGACGGCCCCCGCCACTCCTGCCGATGAGGACCCGACCGCCAAGTACACTGATGTTGCCTCGGTGGAGGCGCGCATTGCCCAGCTTGACGACCTTTCGCTTCTTTCGTACGAAGAGCGCACCGTGGCCCGCAAGGAGCTGCGCGAGCTCAAGAAGAAGCTCGAGACCCTTCGTGCTGCGTCCCCCGTCGCCAAGCTGTCGCCTGCCCACGCCTTGGCCGCCAAGAACACGACTTCGTCGAGCCGATCGGCCTCGCCTGCCGTTGGCACCCCTACGCCCCCGGATTCTCCTTCCGTCGAGCGCTCTGGCACGCCGACCAAGCGCGCCTCGCGCTCGGGCAAGGATGCCATGCTCGAGTGGTGCCAGTTCTGCTGCAAGGAGGATGGCGTCGATGTCAAGGACTTTAGCGAGTCCTGGAGCGACGGTCTGGCCTTCTTGGCGCTGATTCACTTTTTCGCCCCCGACCAGATTCCGTTTAGCGAGCTCAAGGCTGCTGGCGACCGTCGTCGCAACTTTACCGTTGCCTTCGAGGTTGCACAATCCCTCGGCGTCGAGCCATTCCTGGATGTCGAAGACATGGTTGCCATGCGCCGTCCGGACGCCCAGAGCATCATGACCTACATTTCCGAAATTCGCAAGGCTGTTGTTTAACGAGCTGGGGCTTTACCTGAACCCTTTCTCTCTCCCCCCCTTTTTCGCTTTGTCCTTGCTTTTGCTTTTGCAAATTTCAGTTGTGTGTGTTTTGTGTTTCGTTTTGTTTTCTCCCGTGTAAAAAAAAAAAAAACCACCTTCTATGTTTTCCCATCTCTTTTTTCCATTCCTGGTCACCGATCAATATCTCCAAAAAACAAAAAGCAGTCCTTTGTACCCAATTTTCTGAGAAAATAAATGGCTGCGGCGGTTTGCGTTCGCGGGCTTGCTGCTCGGCTGTCATCGTCTGTTCCCGCCGTTCTCCCGCGGCTGCTCTCCTCATCCGCCTCATCGTCATCCACGCTGCTCC